ATTTTTCTGCAGATAATAAATTTAAAAACAAAATTCGCCCAATGAAATGAAAAAAAATTCACGATATTCGAAACATGTAAGATATATGGGAAAAATGGGAATTCAATTGCAGAATTCTAACCAAACTTTTGCAAAGCAACTTCTGGAAAAAATGAGATGCCCACTAGAATGGCTAATAGGGAATACGGTATAACCTAGTCTATATATACAAATGTAATAATATTAAGAAATAAATTGAAATGATCATGTTACCATCCATGGTAACATGGTATCACGTGCAGTTACCTCATAATGATATCATTGTTTGGCATTTATATTCATTTCGATATGTGTCCTGTGATATTTTTAAACTTTTCTTTGTTGTCTCGAATCTTTGCATCGCCATCTTCTAGGCAGTAGCTAAACTAGAATTATACTTGACACTATTTTCCACTTTCTCGATCTAAACAAAGGGTGCGACATCTAGTAATTACTTTTGAAGATGTATAGTGGTGAAAAGGAAATAATGTTTAACCTCTGGTCTGGTAGAAGTCCATTGTATCTCAAAATGGAGTGCAGTAGATTTGCAAGGAATAAAACTCAAAGACATCTCAACAATTTAACGTCACCACGTGGTGACATTAAATTGTGGAGACGACTATGAGTTTTATTCCTCTCAAAGGAAATGTATAAGCATTGACAGTGGTATAAGCTTTTAACTGTGATGATGATGAAGTAACCAAAAACCTAGCGAGAGGGTTAGGTAAGAAATAAAAGTACTTATTATCTACTATGTATGAGTGTAATATACAATGAATGAATTCAAACTAATATTTCGCATGTCACGACGGGAATTTATCACTGATTACCTTGTTTTCCACAAGGGAATTACCGTGATATTTCGATATTGGCTAGGAACAGACTACCCATTATGTAGAGTAGAGCATTTAACAGGTTTTATATCCAACAGTACGTGGTAGGAATCGCACTTTAAAAGGTAAGACCTCAGTGATCCGTAGCTCACACAAGTTTCGATTCATGAGGGTTGTTATTCGTGAAGGGGCATCAGCTGGTTAACAGAAAAATAGGTTTTACCAGGAATTATCTGGCTATGTATATAATTGATTTCTTGGAAACAACTGAAGTGAAAAATGCAAATTTTGATGGTTTCAAACGTACTTTAATAGTTGTTAACGGTACAAGGTCTATATGTAGCAAATAACGGATGAGGTTGAATATTGTAAACCGAGGCGCAGCCTCGGACGGTTGTGCGGACGCTCGTCCGCACGATTCACAAATCACCTCACCCATCACACTCCCCAGACCTCGCGTCATCCAACTACCATCTTTTCAAGTGGAATTAATCCACAAGTGCATTGATTCGATTGATTATTTCGATTAAATTGAATAAGTTGGGGAAGGTGGGGGAATCACGGACGCGGGGTAATCGCGGACGTGTATGTTTCACTATGTTAGAAAATAATGAAAGATATTCCGATTAACACAATCGTGAGTCCATTCCAGACGTAGTGCAGCGCAGTAAGTGGTGAAATGACGACGCGCTCGTTTTACAAGGTATGTTCGTTTAAATATTTATCAACAATTTCATATATATTTCTACTAAAATTGAATAGGTGTATAATATTTCAGGCACTACATAGAAATATCACATTATTTTTTCGAATTAACGTATCATTTCACAATGTTGTTAGGGCGTAACCGCGTGCACCACGCTGTTAGGGCGGTAATACCGGCCATCCACAATTACCCCTACACACCGTATAGTTCACATAGTTTATTGTATTCCCTTTTTTCTATTATATATCATTTATTTTCTGTCCTGTATCTATATGGAAATATAATAACCAGTACCCCTTTGAAAGATATTTTGAAAAAAAAATAAAGAGTCAAAAATTGTAAGTACCACTCAAGGTAAAAAAGAAGTTTAGAATCTTAAATTATTTTCCGATGATAGCATTCATACAAAGGCTCAAGAAAAGGATGTACCGTGCAAGAAGAAAAAGGCCAATAAAGGAGATGGGAAGGAAAACGAGTATTATTGCCTAATTTGTGATGGAAAGTATGAAGATCCACCCAATGAAGACTGGATAAAATGCTACAAATGTAATTTATGGACCCACGAAAATGTACAATTATTTGTTAGTTATTAATATGCTTAAACTTAGATACTTCAGTTAAGTTTTCTTTGTATCATTTCTGTCGTTAAGTTTTACCTTGCAAGTAAATAAAACCGAGTAATTATCATTCTGTGTTTTCTTCATCAACTCATCACAGCAATAGTAACAACAATTAGGTAATCATTGGCTGTCGCGAGCCGGATTGATGACACTGGCGGGCCGGATTTAGCCCGCGGGCCATAGTTTGGAGACCCCTGCAATAGACCATCCGCAATTACCTCATGCATGTATTGTGGCGTAATCTCAGACTCCAATGTTTTGTTTTTCTATTAATATTTTATGGAACATTTATCTACGTTGATTATGAGAACATAAGATTGATTAGTTATAGTTAAGTTTTAGTAATACCTTAACTGGTTTTGTTTAATTTGAGTTTTTCCTTAGGTGTTCGCAATTACCCCGCTCTCCCCTATTCATTGATATATGACAGTTTGAAGTATATGTTACCTGATATTATCTTTAGAGCTACCTAAGTTTGTAAAGAACAAACTAAGTATAAACATTGTGAACATCTATTATTATAATTTAGATTAGATTTTGCTTTTGTTGAAAGCCCCGAACATAGTGCGTTGGTTTGTCTATTGTTTAATTCAGTATTCTACAACACATGATGAAGAGTCAATTTCAAATGGTGCGTGAGTAAACTGTGGATTTTCCAAGTGATTAATTGAGTTTAATTCTCGGGCATTTTTCCTCCGTTTCTCTGCAAAATGAGCACCCTCTCGCTCCCGAAAGAATGTTCAATTAAGAACTTTTTAATTTGTCTTCTTACAAAACGCCTCTTCTGTCATTTAAGTATTTTCTTTAATTACACATTTTACGTTTAACTCATTTAATTAGTAATCAAATAGTCGTCTTCTTCTGCTGCATTACTAAGGGCTACAAATTATTTTTAATTAGACTGTGATCAGGTCTTAATAGGGGATCGGAGGATTTTATTGCAGTGTTGAAAAAATATATCGAGGAAGTAGAAGATAAACGAATGAAGCCTGGAATATTTTATGAAGATTCATTCACGTTTTTTGTTGAATTGTGGATACCCTCCATTTATACAAAGTTGTAAAACAATTAGTTTTAATAATTATTTTAATGAGATTTAACTGGATGGTTACAGTGAGTGGAGAAATTATTCTGTGTTGTGAATTGTGAGTTATTTTTTGTCTTTGAGAACGCTTTCCAACAGTAAACTGAAAAACAAAGTTCTCATTTATAGTAAAAATTATACAATAAACTTATTAATTAGTTTAAATATGGATTTTCATCAAGTATCGGCCAGTTCTCTTTAATTGCCAAGCTGTACTTGACGCGACTAGATACATTAACTGTACGTCGCGTATTCTTTTCGATTTCAATGAAATTGCTACTATACATTCAGAATGACGTTTCGATTTGAATTGAAAATATCTTACTATACCATTAAGGTATTGATATTTCTGAATATCATATATAAATTGTTGGTATTCAAAGTGGAGTTTGAACTGAAGGATTGTTGTCTTATTGTCATGAGGTTACTTGTATGAATCAGTGAAGTGTGGCAAATTGATTTTTAATTTCGGTATCTTGTATCTGTTCACTGTATTGGTTTATTTCATTTCATTTATATTTTCATTTGAGTTGTCTCCGTAGAGTTTGGCTCTTGTCACTGACATAATCATAATATCAAATCAAACCTGTGAATTTCTATAGAAGCATTTGCAAAGTTTTGATATTCAGTCAAAATCATATTTGAATATTTGATTCCATTGGTTCATATTTCATAAGGACATTAAAATGGGTACAGTGAGCTATCTTAAGATATACATATGTCATCAAGAAGTCGTAAGGGAAGCATCGCTGTCCCGCTATCACACTGATAACATTTTCATATTCCAATCAATTTATACAAAACATTGATAAAATATGCACATAAATTTTCCTTTTGAATCAGCACTATCTATTGGTGAAAACACGACCTTTCGTGAGTTTGTTTCTACAGTGAAGTTTGTTTCTACAACAGAACTGTAATTTAGAATTTTCTTTTCAAAATGGAACCATAATATCCTGAAAGATGATGAATATTGACGAACGAGAGCCAAATATTTCACCACAAGTTATTCATTCTGCAGAAAATACCTAAACCTCAACCCATTTTTTCAATATGACAAGTGACAACTGAAAAATCCATACGGTCCTAACGTTGATTTCGGAGAAAACCGATCACTTTTTTTTTCGCTTTCGTAAGTACCAAACACAGAGAAGATCTGCATTACCTATTGAACGCTTGCTGAGCGAAGCAATCTAATCGAGCGTCCAGATATGTATTAATCGATAATAATAATAATAATAGGTGCATTCGATTTAACACACGGAAAGCTAGAGAAGTGCTCTGAATGACAATTTCTTTTGAAACTCTACGGGCCTGCCCTAGTTTCACTCTTTTTCTAATGGGCACTGCGGGTGGCGACCATAGAACATAAAATATATTTTAGATTTGCGGTGTTTTGAGAAATACTGTAATGTATTACAACCAAAGTACTTTCATATTTCACATTAAATTTCATTGATCGCAAATTAAAATAATTTATACTCGAATGGAGCTCATGACTGAGCAAAAACAAAATGGTAAAAAAATAAATAATAAGAAAGCAAATAAACTAAAATTAGACAAATGAAGAAAAAGAAAATATAAGTTGCAGATATTGTGCAAAGCAAGACGATCTGTAACAAAGGATGAAGCTGCTGTTACACAACACTCAACGGTGTAACAGGAGGAGAACTGGCCAAATGCGTCGAGTAGGAAGAGGGTAGAGAGAGAAGGAGAGACTGTCATTTTCAAAGTGTTATTGAGGTTATGTTCGTGATTGTAAACATTTGTTGTTAAATATAGGAATACACTACTTACTAGTATTCCTTTACAATATTTCAGGTGTATCGATACTCTATAAACCAAAATAGTGAACTTTTATGACATGACAAGCAATATCTAAGTATTGTAGAGAAAAATTTTCCCTAAAACTCTGACAAGATGAAGCTGGTAGGAACAAGTAAGTACCCCCTGAAGGTATTTTCTAACGGATTCTATTGTTTCAGTATTGCTTGAGTAATGACCCAAATAAACCGTGTCACATTCTCACATTTCGAGAGATAACAATGATGTTAGATTGCGGTTTATCTATGCAGTCGTTGCTGAACTTCCTGCCCTTATCCTTCGTTCCATCAAATAAGCTCTCAAATTTGCCAAACTGGATGCCCAGTGATACTTCAGATCCCGATTTGGAAGGAGTAAGTACTAAAGAAATATATTTACTGATTCATCTAAACTGTGCGTGTTTAAGGAACTCAAAGAAAACGGTGACCGGGTGTTTGTGGACTCGCCTCCTGAGTTTTGCCCTCCGCTGGATAAATTGATTGACTTTTCACAAGTCGATGTTATTCTCATATCCAATTATTTGTGTATGATGGCTTTGCCTTTCGTCACAGAGGGAACTGGCTTCAAGGGACGAGTTTATGCCACTGAACCTACACTACAAATAGGAAGGTGAGCTAATATAAATGTGTATTCATATATACTCTCAGATATTAATCGAGTGTGTTTGATCTGAATCAAAAAGAGGAAATCTCGGGGACATAACACTCAATAGTATTCCTAGAAAACATCTAACATGAACACTTAGATAAAAAGGAAAGCACTCCTCCGACCATTCACAATTAGAAGTATTTTTTATTTTTCTTTTCTCATCGGAGACAAGAATTGCTTTACTATGTAAAGTATTTGAATTGAAATTATTCAATTCAACGTGTTTTCTGCCTCTCAAGTTACTACTAAATCATTGAAGAGTTATTCCTGTCATGTCATGTCCATACCTTTTTAATTTCTCTAAATGTTAGCATGATCTACCAAAAAGCTTTGCCTAAATCCACACATATTCCTTCAGTCAAGGTTTTTTTAGAGAGTGTTGTTGAACATTTTTTCTTGAATCCAAATTGATTTTTATTAAATATGGTATATATACATTTTTCAGAAAGTTTAGATATGGAAGTCAACCTTGTTAGAGGTCTATAGCTTGTCTATAGCTTGTATTTTCTTCAACTTAGGGACATATCAATTAGTTCCAGTAATGGAGGCTTTTTTACATAGTTGTAATAATTTAAACTTGATGTAATTGATACACTTTTTCCAAAAATTTATCCTGATTTTATCGTGTCCAAAAGATTACGCATTTTTCATGATCGAAAATGGTTTCATTAAAAAAGTTAACACCACTTAGTAAAGATTTCACTGTTTTTGAAGATTTTGGAGTTACTAATTTCCTTATATTCAGTTGTAGATTTATATATTTCACAACTATTGTATATCAGAGTCATTAAAAAGATTTGAGGTTGGAATTAATCTAACTTGACGATCACTACAGTTCAATTGGATGACTTCAAAGCTACTTATATGTTCACTGGCTAGGCATGTTCACTGTGAATATAGCCACTACTGTCTGAATTTTATATTCAATGCCTCTTTTCGTGGGATTTGAATGGCCTCCATGTGGTTATTGCCAATCCCCCAGGAAGGCAATGCCATATTTCAAGTGAGAGTCAATCAATGATTAATACATCATCTTTGCATTAGATATCAACTGAACTGCATAATGGTCAGATGCTAGTTTGCTTTTGGAGACCTCGATATGATTATCAACATTCAGCCTACCATTAATGTGTAAGTTCAGGAATTTTGTATAGAATTTGCTCTCAAAGATTGGCTTCTTTTAGTGACATAGTTTCAATCTGGCCTCTGAAGCAAGTCACTATGAATCACTTTATCTAAGGAATTTGTGCCCAAACTGTGCTATATTATGGTGGTATGAAGGCGACAGTGTAAAATGTTCTGATATATTGATATTTGGCAAATCTTTAATATATGTAGGGTATAAACATTTCGGGCCCATTAATGAGCCTTGAGGTATGCCAGACTTTATGTGAGCTTTTTCATAGATTGTTGTTGTTTTCACTGTATGACTTCCTCCTGACAGGTAGTTATTACACCACTGGAGCGTAACAAATTGTTTTCATCGCTTCTCATTTCTTTTTTTTTATATTTTCTATTCAATAAATTTTCATTCAACTCGAATTATTTCATTCAGCTCATTTCAATCTGTATAATAAAACCACATTGGTTTATTTGTTTATTCCAGACTTCTGTTGGAAGAATTGGTAGTGTACATTGAACAGTGTCCAAAATCTACCTTTGCCTCTCAGTGGAAGAATTTTGTACACAAATGTCCATACCCATTGAACGAATCATTCAAACCGAAGTCATGGAGGCATATTTATAACATGAAGCAAGTGAACGCTAGCCTATCAAGGATACAAATGGTTGGATATAACGAAAAAATTGCAAGTGTACCGAAAATGAGAAAATGAGTTTTTTTTTCAATGAAATATTTTTCAGGATGTATATGGTGCCCTACAAGTCATACCAGCCAGTTCTGGCCTGTGTTTGGGATCCGCGAATTGGGTGATAAGTACAGAACACGAGAAAATAGTGTACCTAAGCGGGTCGAGCACTTTGACTACTCATCCTAGGCCTATGGATCACCACGCACTGAAAAATGCAGATGTTCTTATAATGACTGATCTTACCCAGACCCCCATAAGCAATCCCGATTCCATGTTGGGGGTACTGTGTGTGGTTGTTGGTGAGATTTATTTTCATATAGTTCATTCATTGCAATGTATTGTTTCTGAATTTTTGACATGTAAATGCTACAACCACACATAGAACGAATAAGTAATAGAGATTTCAATTGGTTAACCTAAAAATTCTCTGAAACTTACTAATAATAAAGAATAATAATACTTTATTTTCCATGCAATTAAAAAACTCTTCAAATTTCTCTTAAACATCACAAAATTATGTTCTTCCCTTAAATGATCGGGCAGTTTGTCGAATATTTTTATTCCAATATATTCTGGTGCAAATGAAGTCACTCTTAGTCTTGCATATGGCACATGAAATCTATTTTTTGCTCTAGTGTCATGGTGATGAACATTTTTATTCATTTTGAAATGTGTTTTGTTTTTGAATATGTATATGCATATTTCAAATATATAAACTGATAAAAGTGTCAAGATGTGATAATTTTTGAAAATTTGTCTGCAATTGTCTGCATTTGTCTGCAAATGTCTCTCCTTGAGACATTTGCAATGCACCGTATAATGCGTTTTTGAGCAATGAATACATTATGAGTCATGAGTCATGGATGACCCACCCCAGAAGCAGACACCATTCCTCAGTCTTGAATCAACTGCTCCTGGTTTTTCTTGAAAATGTTCTGAAGTAAACTCTACCAAAAAAAATAACAGTTGGGTTGAATAAATATGTACATACTGTACCACAGTGGCAAATAAATAAATAATATGTATGTGTATTGAAGTGTTTGTACTGAATATCTTGATGATCTCGCTGTAATATTTTAACCTTATGATTACCTTCTAATTCTCAAACTCTAACATGTTCGTAATCTAATTTTTAGATGTGTTAATTTATTTTAATGAGTATATATTCATATTTTTTACTTCTCAATTTATGACCACCATTGATTGTGGAATCTTAAGATGTTTGTAGCCTGATTTCAATTGTGCCATTTGTTTTGACATGTCTATAAACCTTGTGTTTCTCAAGACGAATAAAGATATTATTATTATCATTATTATATTATATGGATTCAATACCAGTGTGTTAGTCTACGATATTTTCAGCTCATCTAGTTAGTATATTCTTCCTCCACAATATTATCTATATTAAAAAGAACAGTGCTTTGAAGTAATATGTCAAACAGAATTTACCAGCCATGAAATTGACTTGCAACCACATGACACCTCCTTTACTATTGTGGATTTATTTAACTCCAATACGATGAGTATGTTTTATATAAATATCCAGTGTATTTCAAATGAAATTGAACAATTGGAATTCTTTTTAGATAAATTGAATTTTAATGCACTTTGTAGCTTTGAACATTGAGTCAATATTTTATCTACGCAGTGGCTTCAGAGCCATCTTACGGAAATAACGCAAACTGTAAAGGTTAATCATTACTATTCTCATAACATCGCAGTTACATCGGGTGTTCCACAAGGATCACATTTGGGACTACTGCTGTTTAACCTTTTTATTAGCGATATAATTTGATGCTTCCATGAAAGTGCAGCTTTGCCACTTTCTGACGATTTAAATTGTTTTAAAATAAATGAAAGTAAGGCCGATACAATGATTGTACAAAACTATATAGATTGCCCTTTTTTTTGTAGGACTAACTTTAAGAGGAGGGGGTAACGTTTTAATACCGTGTTATCCGACAGGAGTAGTATATGATCTCTTCGAGTGTTTATCTGGTAAGATGCAGGAATTGGGCGTATCGAACTGTCCGATGTTCTTCGTGAGCCCCGTGGCAGACATGTCCTTAGCCTACTCTAACATATTAGCTGAGTGGTTGTCGTCTGTTAAACAAAATAAGGTCTACGTTCCAGACGAACCTTTTCCGCATGCCATGCTGGTCAAAAGCAACAAACTGAAACATTTTAAGCATATATTTTCTGACGGCTTCAGTACGGATTTTCAAGAGGTAAGGTCAAGAAGATGGTGGCGTGCGCTTTACTGATTTGAAATGATTTCAGCCCTGCGTTGTTTTTTGCGGACATCCTAGCTTGAGGTATGGAGATGTGGTACAGTTCATAGAGCTGTGGGGGAATAATCCTAGGAATTGTATAGTGTTTACAGGTAAATATGCTCATTTAAATTATTGTTGGTGTGTAAAAAAGCAATAGAATAGATTTATTCATCAATATAACACACAGTGTTGATAAGTCAAAGAATAGTATATTACAATACAATATATGTATTGTTTTAAATTATTTAGTTTCATCTTCTGACTGATGTGTTTTGTTATGTGTCTATTTTTTTTAACTATTAACATAAGATAAGCTTTGTCAATAAGACAATAAAGACAAACAGACAATAAAGAATATTTCTCTCTCTCTCATTTTGTCCAATTCTTATGAAGAAAGTATAAATGGAAAATGAACGGTTACCGAATTAATTAAACATCTCAAACTCTAAATTTGTATTTGCAGAGCCAGACTATGACTACATTGAAGCCTTGGCTCCCTATCAACCTTTACAAATCAAGGTTGCCCACTGTGCCATAGACACTTCTCTGAATTTCACCCAAGCCAACAAACTCATCAAGGATCTGAAACCGAAGACGCTCGTTGTTCCAGAATGTTACACACAGCCGCCGGTCTCGGCACCAAATTTGACTGAATTGGTTATCGGGAACCATATCGAAAACTGTTCGGTAATCCCGTACAAATGGGGCGAGGTAAGGATGTGATGCTGAAATTTTGAAGTTTTGTTTATAAAATTATCTAGAGCTTAATATTCCTTTTCCTTTATAAGAAGCTAGAAGAGAAATTGTCAAGTTAAATTATTTCATAATTGTTATAGTCGAAGTAAACGATATTGTGCACACTTAAAGTTGGCGGCACGCTCGAATGTCAAAAAAACCAATGAATAGAAATGAACCGGCTGCAAACTAGTCCACGTGGACTGTAGAATTGACGGTTCATATGGAATTGAATTGAATTTATTTTTATTAAATTAGGATTCCCTAATATACAAGTTAGCTAACTCAAAATATAATATAATCAACAAAATTTATATAAATGATACAATTTTATATATGTACATAATTTTAACTGAACAAAAAGGAATTTTTCAATTTCCATCCTGAATATATTTTAACAATTCGCTCTTGAAAATCTTTAATGATAGAGTAGATTTAATTAAATCAGGTAAATCATTGAATTGGACAAAACCTTTAAAAAATAAACTGCTCATACTATTTCTTGTATTTGTTCTATTTATATGAATGTGGCTGTTGTGCCTAGTAGAATGGTGATGAATGTCCTTATTGAAAGTTATTAATCATAGCAAGTATGGTGGGATCATTTTTAATATTTTATAAATAAAAACCATGGAACAATAAAATAATCTTTTGGATACTGAGAGCCATTGTAGAGCAGATAGCATAGTAGAAATTGGTGTATCTATTACATTTTAAAATTATTCTCATTCCTCGATTTTGTATTTTTTGTATTTGTTGCACTTTGTTCAAATTAAAAGAGAATAAAATAGATGCACAGTAGTCAAAATGGGGTTGGAGCATATTTCTGTTTCACATTCAACTTTCTGTATACAGAGTGTATCTTTATTAGGCTGGTCGCTTTGAAGTATTGAAAATATTTTAAATTTAGTTTTATTGATGTTCAGGCTCAACAAGTGGTAGCTTAGGCATACTTGGATATTCTGCTTCACAGACTATTGAATATTCCACTGTTATAAAGTAACTAGTTATTGCCCACGTAAAATTTGGTAGTTGTAGTACTAATTAGTACCATGTTGCTGTATCGCTGCTGTTCCAATGTCTTGACAGAATTAGAATCAACAAAATTGTTCTACAGCCCCATCTAGTGGCTAGTTACAGAAACATTGATAGCCTAAAAACATTCTCTACGAAAAATTACTTATACGTATCAAGATCGGTTGAGCGATGTAGAAGTTTACCACTAACCAACCAACAAACATCCATTTTTATATATTAGATTTTCAGGGAGTTCCATCAAACAAATTGCTGACAATAACGGTTACAAGGAAGATATAATCAACGTTTTTTTATGGAGACGTGGCTTACAGAACAAATAATAACTAAAGCAATTTTATTAAAAATAAGACAAACTTTCTGTCTCGGATAGATCACGATTATATAAGTTGAGTTGTGGCCAAACAGGATGAACCTTTACTCAAAGAATAAAAGAGCATATGAGTAGTTTCTTGAATGTGAAGATCAACTCCACATTGGCAAACCATCTTTCACGAGAGGGTCATGAATTCAAACACGTGACTTATTAAATTCGGAACAGAAAGGTTTGAAAGTAATCTTTTGGAATGCTTGGAGATCATTAGATTTATGAAAATCTGAATGACCAAATGGAATTGAATTCTTGCTCTCTTTTGAATCTGCTTTCTAATTTGGAAATTGGTAACTAGTTCATTACATATCTATTTAATGAGTTGGTATTTCTTTTTAATTTCGAGTTAATTTATATCTGGTAAAAACATCATATCATTTTCATTTCATTTTATACTACATATAGCACTTCGATAACTTTATTGATATGTTTTACTTTCCAGCTAACAAACTTTATTGACGTATCATTATTTCAAATAAAACAGTATTCTCTTTTAAAAGTTCTTTCTTATTTACAGGTGATCAACTTACCTCTCAAAAGAAAACAGGGACAAGTTTTTGTTGAACCAAGCGTCGCTCAAAAAATCGTTCCTGTTGAGATTAAACCGGGAATTAGTTTATCTACTGTGACTGGTACCCTTAGCGTAAAAGACAATGTGCACAATATTGAGGTTAGTATACACTTTATGCGAGTTTTTTGTAGAAGATAAATAGATAGATATATCCACTGTTTCCAAATACCACAACTCCAACATTCTTCTCGAAAGCGTGTTTCATCAACCAAGTTCGAGTCTTCAGAAGATGTAGTACATCACTTCAGCTGTAGTAGAATGTATACAGTTTCACTTATTTACGAGGTCTTTACAAAAAATGAAGTGAATTCTCATTTTCTGTGGAAAGCTTATACCACTTGTAAACATTTTACTGACTCATAATCGTACATTCAATTAACACACGAAATTTGAACATTCACTCTCTGTCAATAAAATCTCTTCTTCCAACAATAGAGATTATTTATTATTATCATTATTATATTACATATTCGTAATAGCACTGCTTGTTGATTCATTTAATTCATTTATTCAAGATTTGTTGTTGAGGTTTCAAAAGTAACATTTGTGTGAAACCCCCTTTGCAGGAAATTTCTTCAGAGTCAAACACCAATAATGTGATAAAGTATGAGTGGGGAACTTTGAACGCTAAGGATTTCGTTCATAAATTGTCACAAGAAGGATTCTCTAATGGCAAAGTGGAACCTTTGGGAGGGAACGTTGTGGTAATTCATCTGGTAAGTAATTGTTGTATACGTATCAATTCCAATGATTTAATTACATTTCTCATTTCAGCAAGATGATGACGCTTTAATTCAGTTAGAAGATAACAGTACTCATGTTGTGTGTAATGGTGATGAAACCCTAAGGACCAAATTGCGTAATGTAGTTATGCAGTGTTTAAAGAATTTTTAGTGATTTATATTCATTTTATTTATTTGTGTTATATTCAATTCAAATCCTTGAATATTAATCATAATGATGAAATATTATATTAGATCTGAGGCAGTTATCTCCTCTTTAACCATAGAACTAAAAACCAGTTTCAGTTCTGTTTTCAAAGCACAAACAACACAACAAGCATAGGACACAAAAACATTAAATTGTCGAAAGTGTCAATACAAATTTGTCGTTCATAAGTAAAAATGGCGACCCTTTATGTCACTTGTCAAGTGGATTGTAAAAGTATCAACCCACTTAAGTCTTATTACTTAGAATACAAATAAAAAAGTGTTTAATTAATAATATTACTAATGAACTGTTATATTTGATTGAAAAGGCAATCATCTCTTATTCAACCTTAGAACTAAGACCCAAAGTTTCAGATCTGTTTTCAACGTATAAACAACCACAAAAATTGAGAAAGGTACGTAGTCCAATAGGACACAGAAACGACATCGAATTGTTTATAATGTAAATACAAATTTGTCCTTCATAAGTAAAAATGGCGGCTTTTCTATATGAACGTCATTTGTCAAGTGAATTGTGAAAAGGTATCAACACACTTTAGTCTTATTATTCAGAATAGAAATGAAAATGTTAATAATCTTACTGATGAAATGTTACATTTGAATTAGAAGGCAGTCATCTCTTTTTCAACCATAGAACTAAATCCCATAGTTTTGGACACCAGTATTTTATTTCTGTTTTCAACAGTAAACAAGTAAATATGGAAAAAGGCATTTAGTCCCACAGAACAACGACATGCAATTGTTTAGAATATCTACACAAATTTGTGGTTCATAAGTAAAAATAGTGACTCTTCTATATGAACGTCATTTTTCAAGTGGATTGTAAAAGGCATCAACACACTAGGTCTTATTACTTAGAATGAAAATAAAAAGTGTTTAATTAATGATATTGCTGTTAAAATGTTATATATTACATCTAAAAGGCAGTAATCTCTTTTTTAACCATTGAAGTAAAACCAGAGTTTTCGACAGCAATGTTTTAGTTCTGTTTTCAACACATCAACAATAAACAAGCACAATGAGCAAATATGAAAAAAGGTACCGCAGAATAGAGAAACGACATGAAATTATCTGAAATGTCGATTCAAATTTGAATTTCAATGTGAACGTCATATGTCAAGTGAACTTAGAATCGAAATAAAAAATTTTTGATTGTTAATATTACTGATAGAATGTTATATTCGATTTAAAATGCAATCATCTTCTTTTCAACCATAGAACTATAAACATACAAGCAAGAATGCTATAGGCTGCAATAAAAGATCAAATAACATACTGAAAAAAGTTATCGAGAGTATTATTAAACCAATTTCTCTTATGATCATTAGGTTACTCCTGTGACATTTTTTTCATTAAAACAAAACTGGCACATGCGATTCATGAAGAAGAAGAAAATTATACATAACCCCATTTCACTGTTCGTTTTCAAACATGGAAACATTTTGAATCTTGAAATCTGTAGTACAAAGTGTTCAAAATAACCAACTAGAAAGTAACTTGCTATTGCCAATGCCTTCTATATTCAGTCATACTATTCAAATGTATTTACAATCTCCACCTAGTGGTCGAAAACTCAAATTTTCACTATGTTGTTGCCCTTCAAATATATTGCAGTAGATTTCAGTAGGTTTTCAATGACACTGTAGGAAGATTTCTCAAGTAAAATGTGGTCATGCTGTCGAGTCTAAGTTCTAAAAATTAATTTCTAACAGACTGAAATTTGCTCAGATGACCAACCATTGGCATCAGTGTGAATCCAACTGCAGCATAAATAATCCACTATTCCAACACCTTTCACAGGCTGTGTTTATTTTCTCACATTTTTTTGCGGATGTTGGTGGGTCCTACTTATTACTACTATTCTGAAAAATAGTTTCTTCTTCTGAAGAAACCAACTTGGTTGATGAAACTCGCGTCGAGAAGAGTATTGCAGATCTGGTGTTTGTGAAGAGTATATTTTGAAGAAGTTTGTTCAGCATATAAATATTAAAAAATTAAAGGAAATAATGCAATAGTATATTCAGAGTAATGAAATGTATTGAAATATTAAAATCTATTTTCTATGAATGCTTCAGTGGCTTTCTCCTTTTTTCCCTGTTACTCTTTTGAAATCGCCCATGTTGGTAGTACTTATCGGAGAACCAATGAGGACCAGATGATTGATTCGGGTTACATCTCCACCACCCAGGTTACTCTTGACATAAAATTGAATGTTCTGTACATTCTGGAATTTGACATACCGCAAATTAACTATTGACCCACCTACATCTTCTGGGGTTATCCTGAAATGAAAATATACATTATGTCTATTTAATAAGAAAAAACATGAAAACTTTTTTTCAAACACACCCCAATTCAATTTATCTGCTGGAACTGGTACCAATATATTCTACAGGGGCTATAAAAACGTACATATGAAAATATTTCAAAACCATTGCAAGTAAAATAATTTTCATTGTGAAAGTAATATACTCTGTTCAAAAAATACATCGAATTGTCATTTTTCTCAATATATATTTATTCATCAATTTATATTTTGTCCCCTTCAAAGTAGCCCCTCTCAGAAATAATACACTTGTTCCAGCGTTTTTCCAATTCTTGAAGCAGTTCTGATATGCACTTTTTGGTATGTCCTTGAGTCCTTTTAGCGATCCATTTTTCTTCTCCTCGATCGTCACAAAACGCCGTCCTTTCAAGGGTCTCCTCAATTTTGGGAACAGGAAAAGTAGCGGGGGGGGCAAATCTGATGAATATGGTGGCTGAGGCAAGATAACGGAGTTACTGGGCGAGCGTCATCATTCACATAAATACGTGTCTAAAACAAAAGCCATGATTCTGACCACAGCATATAAATATATAAACATAAATTCCTACTCTTTGGAAATTAATAATGAAAAAATAGAATTTGTAACCGAAATTAATACCTGGGAATAATGTTAGACAACTGTTTATCTTATGATGCACATTTCAAATACATAACTGAAAAAATATCAAAGAAACTTCACTTTTTTACTCGAATATCTTATCACTTGTCAGTTTCTTCCAAGGTCACTATATATAACACAATCATTCAGCCTCATTTCGAATATTGTAGTACATTACTATATATATGGGTGTGACCAAAACAAAATTTCGACTTCACAAAAACTACAAAATCGTGGAATGAGAGTCATATTAAAATGTAATCATAATACAAGCATAAAGTTTATGCTTGACGCATTACAATGGTTATCAATAAAAGAAAGGTTCTATAGATCAGCAATGATATTTATTTTCAAGACTATTAATAATATGTTACCATTTTCCATCTTATTTTGATGAATTCATTACTTATCGTGATAGTACTCACAACTACGAGACAAGACAAAGTTATTTTTTTCACTTGCCAAGATGCAGATTAACCAGCTCAATGATTATATTGTTTTATAAAGGTTTAAACCATTTTAATAAGCTGTCAAGAGACAAAACAAAGCGAAAGTATTTATATATTTGAATCTAAACTAAACAACTATATTAAAACAAACACAATTTTGTAGGAAATGATTGAATGATGCAGAACATCAGTAGTCTTAAATCTCAACATTTATTATCATGTATCAGTATGTTTTAAATTGTTAATATAGTCTTATCTAGGTTAGTTAACTTTGAATTTCATTTCCTTTTCTATTTTATTTGTCAACATTTTTAGGTTATAGTCATACGTATGACTCTAGTTAGTAGTTGTTATTATTGTTGTTCATGAACATATTATTATTGTTTACTGATTTATTATTATTATTATTGTATGTATATTAGAATTTCCTAAATAAACATATTCATTCATTCATTCACATTTTCTCGACCTTCTGTGTAAAGATTGTACCACTTGTAAACATTTTTCTAACTCAGAGTACAATCACCGTATGCCACTGTCAACATACATAATTTTTAGCACTGAATTTCATTTTTTGAAAGCAGAACATCGCCGAACATGCAAAACACTTTTAACCAACCTCTCACCAACAAACTAACCATACTGAACAGCTGTAACTGTGAACATATGTTCGAGACATGTTAACCAACATTAACAAAATGAAAATCGCGCGCGTGTGAATTATATTAAAACCTAGCCAAAAGTTTGAAAAACTCTTTGGATGTTAATTTTCCAGAAGTTAATAAACACGTGTTTATATGTATGTACTAAAATTGTATACCACATTGAATACTCACTCTATATCTTGAACACTAGTTGAACTATCTGCCCGATCAAAATCCAAAGTTCTCGGTTGATTGATGAAAATTCTAATAGCCTTAGGACCCTTATCAACTGGGGCAGTTATTTTCAAACTATGTATTTTAACAGCCTGGTTGAAAGAAATGGAAATGATCAACTGAAAAAAATAAACTGTGTAAGTTTCAACATCTTGTGATAAATCTGTTTCACAATCAAAACAGTGTAATAAACCAAATTCTAATTGATTCACGCCTTCTATGAATTCTTACCTGTTCATCACAGTCAGACTCAAGATATCCTCCGCCGGAACTCAAACAGTTGGCAAAAGGATGATCATCACTTTCGTTGAGACATTCACATTCTGATTTGGAAATGAAAGGAAGTAAATCCATCTGCCATATGAAACAGAGATGAGATATTCAATAAGAACACTCTTGTGAAACCAAAAAATACTTACGTGACCCACTACTGCTTCTTCGCTATCTTCACTTTCTTCAGTACCATAAAATTGTTTAATTTTATTTTCCAGTCCTACTGGATCTGATCCTTGCAAGCGGTCAATTTTTATCTGAAAGTAAATAATGAGAATGATAGTGTTCCATGTGAGTGAAATTTTATATCAAGTAGTCATAACCCATTCAGTTACATTAGTGTACCCTACTTCAGCTTGTTTTATGGCATTTGAAATATTATCTGTAACAAGCAGTTTAGTTAGTTACTTGTTCTTGCATGGAGTCCAGTTAATCATATACATAAATTAAAAGCGAAGTGGATGCCAAAATTGAGCCTTAATAGACGCCAATATCTATGGGACTCGATTCTGAAACGAAATTGTTACATTTAACCTGGTGATATCTAGAACTTATGTATGAGGCAAACCACTTTAATGCAATACCTCTGATATCATATCTTTCTAATTTATATAGTCTGCTACAGTGGAAGACATCATCAATGGTATGTGCACTGCCACGAGTACAAAGACTCACCAATGACTGACTAACTTTTCTTTCAAGACAAATTTCTGACAATTACAAAAATATTATTTTTAAATTTTATTGCAACTGTCTGCTAACTTTTGAAGAGGTCAATTAACTTCATAGTTAACATTATATAGAATAACAATCCATGTACATCTTCATGTTCTGACTTAATGTACAGGAGAAAAGTCTTTAAACTATGAACTACATACCTTATTACGATAAAAAATAAATGTTGGCATGGCAGAGACACCTTGAGCAGCCGCAGTTTCCTGACACTGATCAACATCAACTTTCAAGAATACTGCTCTAGGATATTTGGCGGCAAGCTGATTAAATATGGGGGCTATTCTCAGGCAAGGTCCGCACCTGGAAGTAAATAAGAGTTGAATGATTTGGGGTTTCCTGATAGAATATCAATATCAACATACCATGTTGCAGTAAAATCGACAACTACAAGTTTTGTAGAAGCGTTAGCCAGTTCAGATTGGAAATGGGATTCGTCTGTTATGGCTTTAACGGATGCCATGTCTGCAAAATTTCATACGCGATACAAATACACTCCTAACTACTGGGGTCGAAAGGGAACTGTCAAAAAAAAGAGGTTATGAATTGGACAGAAAATTTGCCCATTCATTCACTACTGTGAACTGTCGAACTATAGCCAATACAAAAGCCACAAAATTCCTACTTTACAGCCAAAAACCAAACAAAAGACAAAATACAAAATCATAGATACATTGTATATTATAGACTATATACAAACATCCCCAATAACAAAATACTTTCATTCGACGCACATTTCACTAACCAACTTATTAGCACCATCTTCTGATAATGTTAACTTGGTTAGCGAAATGCTCGTCGAGAGGAAGTATTTTTGTTCTGGTATGGTGGAGTTTTTTGAGTAGATTCATTTTATTCCAGAAGTTCTAATTGTACCTATCAATCGTGTCATTAATAATTCAAAAACTGAAGTGTTCTCGAAGTGGAAGCTGGAAATAATGCACTGTGTCTGTACATTCTATTATATTCTTAAAAATGTATGAACATGGCTCGTACGAAACTTTTACATTAGGTGTGTTTTGTTTGCGTTAATTTGGTTCTAGATCTGTCATTTTGCATTTTGTCAAAAGTAATTCGCTCTCTCTGCTCGATCAAAATACATTGAGCAGAGATAGCGAATAATTTGTGGCGGGAATGACTTTGGGTGCCAACAAAAAACATTTGTATTTTGTGAGCAAAAAATTACCTGGTTTCAAATCAGTGCCAATATTATAGTTTATTGATTTTTCTACAGTGGCAATGGAATGATCTTTTACTCAATAAAGACTTTTCTAGAGTTACAATTAACTCAAATGAAAAACATACCAAATTTTCCTAGAGTTATTAGTATAGAATTCATAAACTTCAAAGACTTTTTTTAATGCTGACAAATATATCTTGGATATTTCCACTCAACATCATTGTATAGGTTAATAAATCTATCAGTGTATATATTTCTATTTTCGTAAGGACTTATACGAGTTCACGTTTATAATTCAGGTGTTTTGTAATTGTAATTCATACATTACACTCGCGTACAAAATATCGATGATGCGAATCCAGAAGATTGAGTAATTTCAATCAAGTCATTTCGATGTAGTGATTTTATTTCATTGAAGAGAATCGTAATCGTATAATCCTCTAATCAAACATAAAAGACTCATGTCTTTTCCCAGTCACTCATAGACTGGAGTATAGGTACTTCTGAGAATTGTTGGTCGGCGGATACAAATACAAATTGTCTCACATTCTTATCTGGGAGAGATATTCCTCAAGTTTTATTCATAGCTCAGTAATTCATAACAGAAATGAAAATAATTTTAGACGGATCATTTAAAAATGCATCGAATAAAATGGTATAAGAATAGTTTGCTATATATACTATAGGCCAATTGCACAGATGACTTTTCTCTGGCCAGAATATAAATAACCCTAAAAAACATATAGGTTAGGTTATGTTTACTCTTTTTAATTTTAAGATGTCCCATTACTTTTCAATTTCTTACGGACTCAAATTCTCTAGGGATTTGTTTACCACCAAGAAGCTCTTATTGCGAACAAGAAAATTTACCAAGAAAGGAATTGTTAGAAATTTTTCTGTAGAAAGTGAGTTAATATGATGGGTTTTAAAGGTATCTCCAAGTTGACTCTTTTCAGGAACCCAAGAAAATGACCAACAATCTGAAAATTTTGTTCCATTTCTTGAGAGGATTGACCTGAAACGTTCGGAAGCTAAGAAAAGTATAATAGTACAGGTTCAGTCAGCAAACTCATTCAAAGAATTGCATAATTATTGTAGTTCAATAGGAAAAGTTGAGGGCATGTTTCATTATACATCAGGGGTCGAGCCGCTGGTACTTTATCAAATGAAAAATTATATTTGTTGATTCTCATTGTATTTATTTTTAGCATTTTATTATTGTAGAATTCGAAAAAGAGCTGGACGCGAAGAACATTATGGACACCAGTAATTATTTGAAAGAAAATATGGCCATTCCAACACACTCCCATTTTTTGTGGTTCAGGGCTGCAAATCGAAAATTGGCTAAATTGAAACTGAACCAATCGCCTAAGATTTTTGTTAAAGATGGAACTAAAATATTAGAGGAAGCAGATATAAGAGAGGCTTTGAGTAAATGTGAAGAAGTAAGTATAGTACAGAGCAAACCCTGAGCTCGCAATTTACTACCCATTTAAATTGAATTCAACAGCGGCCATGCTTTAATCGAGAATTTGAAAATTTTACCACTTGATCAAATATTAACAATGTTTGAAAGTGACATAAATTTAATTTTATTATTTTTCATTCCATTTTGTCCAATAAATAAAGGTACTTTTCAAGTGATATTGTTGAAGAAGTATCAGGGATTGAAATGTTCAGTTTTTGCTGATGATCTTAAGATTTACCGCTTCCTCAAATGGAAAACTGAACGGAGTAGCTCTTTCGGTTTATGAAAGATCTTGGTATTCTTTTGGATAGGTAGCTGTCTTTCAAAAACCATATACCAAAGAGGTGCAACCATGTTACAGACTCTGGTTACATTCCAAGAATTGATACAGATTTCTCGCCTACTACTCTAAAGATCCCATATTATAGTTTAATTTGTACTAAACTTGATTATGCTTCTGTCATCGGGTACCCATCGTATTACATATATAAGCAACATCTTGAATCTGTTGAGGACAGATTCTTACATACCATTGCCTTCAATTTGGGTTGTTAAATAGGGAACTATACTTTTTCTGATATCAGAACCAATCTTCTATTATCTCCAGAAGAAAATCGACTTTTTGGGAAAGAAAAGTTTTGACTTCTACTTCTCTTTATACAAGAAAATAATGGTGGTAAGCTTTTTACATTTACCATTTTTCAATTTTAGATTTCAGATCAAATCAAAGTATTGCACAGTATCACCAAATTAAATGAAGTTGGTACTAGACTGAGGTTTCTCACTGCCCATCAAGTAGAAAAAGCTGTTTCTGGTATGTTTCCTTATGCCTGTGCTTATCCATTCGGCTCAAGTGTGAATGGTTACGGTAAAATGGGATGTGACTTGGATCTCATTTTGAGACTAGAAGATAAAAATCTGGATGACAAAAATGTATGTACTGATTTATAAGGAGTGGGATAAACGGCCCTTAAAAAGCTGTATTTTTCATTTTTAGACAGACACAGACAGTAGACTGGTGTTTCATTGCAAACCAGTTATGGGAACAGAAAGATCAGTGACACAAAGACACATAGAAACCCTTGGCGATATAATACACTTATTCCTTCCAGGTTGCGGAAATGTTCGAAGAATTCTTCAAGCTAGAGTCCCCATAATAAAATACCATCAACAGCTGACCGATGTAGAATGTGATGTATCAATGACGAATATGTTAGTTTCAGTTGAACTTTATTTTAAAACGTTATGTCAAATTTTTATTCTATCTTTAAAAGTTAGGAGGTTCACAGGAATAGTAAAATAATTTTTGAAATGTTTCAGGTCTGGGGTTCACATGTCCGACTTCTTGTACATAATGGGAGAGATGGATGATAGGGTTAGGCCTCTAGTTTTCTGTATCAGAAAATGGGCCAACATAGTAGGAATTACAAATTCTTCTCCCGGAAGGTGGATTACAAACTTTTCGTTGACGCTCTTGGTTTTAGCTTTTCTACAGAGGCCTATAAATTCACCGCCAGTATTGCCATCTTTAAACTATTTAACAAAGTTTGCAGGTGATTGCAGCAAACGTAGACTTTAATTCTTCCCAACTGTTTTTTTATGAAAATTGTTTCGTTCCAGATTTTTGAAAATGTGAAATCACATTTAAAACTATTTAACATTTATAGTTGTAGGATTGAAATATGGGAGTCTGGAAAATTCGATCGGATCAGTAGGCAGTACAAATTGTATCAAAAGACCATTCAAAAAAATGCTAACTTTGTTCAATAAAAAAAATCTCTTGAAATTTCTCTTGAGTCTCTCAAGCGAAAGCTTTATGGTATTGAAAAGATATTTGATAGACCTATGGCAGGAAAAACTAGTCAACTTGAGATATTTCGTTGTGTAATATTTCAGTGATTATTTATTATTCAATTTAATCAAATAAGTTCCATTTGAATCTATCGGGAGTGGCGATAAGTGAACTATTAATCAGTCGGACACAGCGTTTACAAAAAATAAAATTTATTAATAACACCACCAAATGAACAAACAGAAAATAACAGTGTAACCTCGTGGCGAGGAGAATCAGAAATAGGATTAGTTCCCGGCCGAAATCTCAAAAAAGAATGACGGCATCGGCTAAGAAATGTGTTTTGAAATAACTTTCTCACTGACAAAAGGTCGAGTCATAAATTTAGTTGAGAAGGGTCAACCACTTGGGCCCTTGTCTTAATCTATAAAAGTGTTAACAATGAGTATCTACTCGAAACATCCCAAGCGGCTTCGTTCTAAAAAACCCAAGCAGATGGATATTTTGTAGGACTGCTCGATAATAGAGTTATGAAAAGTTAACTTTCTAACGAGAATTTATAATACTAAAATTAAAATCAATTACGAAACAAAATGTTTCTAAAGTAAGTAGTTGTAGGAAAAACCCTACATATCATTGCACTTTTGTCAGCTTAACAAAAGTCGAATAATTACTTCAGCTTAAAAATCGGGTGAATGGAATACGATGAAGTCGACGAAGGCCGTTTCTGCCTTGGCTAAGATAGTAGTCGGTTGGCGAAAGGTCTGGGGAGTATGGTGGCTGAGGAAGAACTTTGCTCCACGTTGTCGTAGAGCAGGATCGGGCCTCTACTGTTGACCAGTACAGGCTGTTGCTGACGCAGTTTTCGGTACAATTTATAACAAACTTAACTTTTTTAGTAACGTATTCGTGATTGAGGAAGTTGATTATTTGATTAACGATACCCAGCTATGCTAATCTTCAATCATTCCAGTTGCCAGATATTTTTATATAAACGCAAATTTGAGTCTTTTTTACACGTATTTAGTTGATATATTTGTTGAAATCAGTTCAATTTAAGATTAAATTAAAACTTGCTTTCCAATTTCAGGATCCAAAGATGAATTTGAAATTGAAACTGGCATCACCTGCAAGTTTTTACGAGATATAAGACAGTTGAAATACACGACACAAAATAAAGAATCAATGGAATCACTATTGTTGGAGTTTTTCGTGTATTATTCCCAATTCGACTTCTCCAACAAGGCAATCTGTCTGAACGAAACCATCGACATCCTCAAACCAGAATATAGCCCTCTGTACATAGTAAACCCACTAGAACGGGGTTTGAATGTTAGCAAAAACGTCAGCCTGGAAGAAGTGGAGAGATTTAGAGCCGAAGTCAAGAACGCGGCTTGGATTTTAGAATCACGAGAAAATAATAAATTGGGGCTTTTATCTATCTTCGAGCAGAAAAAGACAACATCTGCAAATACTTTCACGTTCCAGACAAAACCTAACAGGCTCATGAAGGTTAGTGATTTGTTCGAAATTGAAAACGAAGGGGATTTGAAAGAAACAAATAGAAAACAAAATTTCGGTCTCAAGAAAAAATCACGGAATGATAGCATAATTCTGAAAAACAGACAGAGGTAACAGCAATGTTGAATGGATTTTTTTTATTTATTGAAGTATATATCTACAATAAAGAGACATTGTTTTTTTTAAGTAGGAGAGATGCCGGAGAATTTACAGAAACTTGTCTTGAAAACGATAATATTTACTTTTGTTAACAGTATAACAGCGAGGAATCGCACGTTAAAAGGTAAGACCTCGTTAATCCTTAGCTCGCACAAGTTTCGTCTTTTGAGAGTTGTGGCTCGTAGGGGGGCGACAGCTTGTTAACAGAAACCAAATTTCAACAGTGGAACATTTCCCAACATATTTCTGAGGTTCGGCAAATTCCTTGAAAAATTAAAATATTGCGTCAAAGCTATTTTCTGAGTTTGTTGGACGTGATTTGCAGGTTTTTGTGCCTGACATTTTAACCATGACTGCAATAGACATTATTAAATACCTTGAGGCAATGGACCAGAAACTCTAGTTTCATTTCATCGGTAGTGGATAAAAACACCATTTCTCAGCTTCGCTAAATAAATAAAATTCCTGTATGTCAACAATACATAAACTCACTTGTTCGATTGATGACCTGTTCAATTTATAAAAATTCATATTAAATATACGATAATGAAAATGACTTTTCTCCAATTTCTACTAGGATTTTTATTTGTCACAACTGGTTTCAATTTATTAACCCATTCTCAAGTGAACTGATATTGGTTTAATAACCAGTAGCCAGCTCTGTGAACACAAGAGAAATTGTCATCTGGGGCATACCTGGAACATGCACTTGGAGAAGGCACAATTTCAACCGAAAGAGAAAATGAACATAAATGGATGTTGGCTACCTATACTAATTTGTACACGTAATAAGTCAATTAATGTAACCAATACAAACGAACCACCAGCGATGAAATGAAACCAGAGATGTAAACCTTCAAAGATGTAGTATGTGCTGTCAGGACAACTAGAGCTCTTCGTTCTAATTGTCTATGTTTTGATGGGAAAAATTTTTCTATATATTTTTCATTTTATCTACCAATAACCATTATTAGGATGTAGAAATGTGAAAAAAAAGTATACTAGACGCTTCCATAAAATTCTTAAAAGCCCCACAACGATTCTCGAAAATAAAGGTTGATGATGCTGAAACACCAAGATTTAGCATTATTCTTTTATTTACTGTAACAATTATGCATTTGAATAATTAACTCAATGACAAAAATACATAAATTTCAACAAATGTAAAAAAGCGGCAAGGTAAACAGTGATAAAATTTATGCTGTAATAAAACGACAGAAGTATCACAATATATGTAAAACAATAACTTCACCTAAACTTAGTGTATCAATTTCACTTTTAGTAATAAGTTACACATTAAATCACATATTCATTTTGTACCTACAATCTATAATATGGCTGCAGAGTCATTTCACAAATAAACATTTATTGGTGATGATAAAACTAGATCATGAAAGTGTGTCTGAAGACTGTATTAAGGAAAGATACATACGTACTAGTACTGATGTATATCCCCCCGATACAGACACGGTTTGATCTCTGTTAGAGTATTGGTACATGGGATGTTTCTTTCCCGCTTATGGCTTTGCTCACGAGATGGAGCTGTTACTAGTTAACGATCTTTCTTTTATTTGAAAGTTTCATACATGTAGAGCCGCATTGAAATCAATCAAGTCCCAGACGGTTGGCTCGGATCTTTCCTGCACTGATGAGAGGTAATACGTCGAATGCGGTCTGTAGGTGATCTACTGGAATAATTTTAGCCAGTCCTGCTGCTGGATGAACGAGAAACATCTGCGAGACTAACCTCTTTGGGGTACCTTGCATAAATGTCTGTCGGATATGATTCAATGCCCAGCGTCGTATTAGCCGGGGAAGTAGTTGTTTTCCAGTAGGCATTTACCAGAACCTAAGGCGTAGGTACTTTGGAAGAGATGAATGTTTCGAAATTTCATTTCGAAATATTAATTTTTTCAAACAATCATTTATTGATGATGATGATGAAACTAGATGATTATTAGTGTCGAATAAAAATAGTTCCATATCCACGCAAGTATTAACACTTATCGATGCGTATTTTAGGGATAATTTTCCGAAAAAATTTCTTTTTCACAATTGCCGATTTCGTGATGCGATCATCTTTTGTAGTAGCTTGGCCGTTAACTTTCCCAGAACTCGGCTCAGGTGACTTTGTTATGACTGGAATAGTCGGGCTGGTAATGTTTGGTCCAATGTGTATGATAATTGGTAAAGCGGGTGACATTGAGGGGGCGATTTTCTTTTGTTTCTGAGAATCAGGCTGTTTGATAATTCTACTTGGGACTGGAGCAACATCTGCAAAAGTCACATAATCACCCTCAATTATTTGTAAATCAATATACAATTGGAGATATTTGAGTTTGTTTTTATTGAGTGATTCAATGATACAATAAAGATTTTTTCTTAATTTCAAATTATATATTATCAAACCTCAAGTATTCCCATGATTGGTTTCGAATCATTTATATCAATCAGTCAAAACTGTACTTTGATGTTCAAGAAATACAATTTTTGCTGACAAAGTTTTCAGATTAATAAATCTGCAAAAGATATTCAGTGGACGTGTCTACACCGTCATTTAAAGAATAAACAGGAAGTAGATGTGTTATATACGCAGATTTCTCCCAAAGTATTGGATACAGTTAATCACAGGTTTCTTTAGAGGCAGAATTGGAGGCAATTGATTTCTATGGACACAAATTGGATTGGCTTAGTATGTAACACAACACAAGTTGAGAAATTGAATGGATTTATTTATATCCCACGAAATCTATGCCAGTTCAGGGATACCGCAAGGACCCTTTTTAGGGCCATTTCCATTTGATATTTTTGTTTATGATATCAAAAAAAGATTGGTAATTCTGAAGTATTAATGATTGCTGATGAATTGAAAAAAATTTAGAACCATTGAATCCACAACAGATTACATATTTTGCAGAATAGTATAGACAAAAAGGAAGTTTCAGCGAATATAAATATGTAAAAGTAGTAAAACATAAAACTAGAACCTTTGGCGTAGAATAAATCCAGAACAAGCACTCTTATCAAACACCAGAACTGCAATACTGTTCTCGACGCGCGTCTCACAAACCAAGTTGTTTTCTGCCTATTATGTGCTTATGAAAATTGTAGTAAAATTATCACATAATTATCAGTGTCTTTGGATTACAGAAAATGCACACCATTAATTACTGACTAGCCCAAAAAATTAAAAATAATTTTTCCACATTTTACTGAACAACTAAGTAAAAAATTGAAATTTCTATTGAATCACAGAGATAACACTTTGGTGAACATAATGTACTTTTGAGTAAAAACTAAGATATTCATTTATATTATATTTTTTCATCCAACTGGATTATACAAAATCTCACCTTTGGAGTTCTTTCCCAAATCTTTGAGGAGCTGGCATTTCAATAATTCATTCTCCACCTTCAATCTTTTATTTTCCTCTCTCAAGGAACAAATTTCCTCTTCCATCTGCCTCAGGCGAATCTGTTTACGCTTTCGACACCTTGTTTGAGCAGCTCTGTTCATTTCACGAATTTTTTCTTTGGTTTCGTTAGTACTGGATCTGTTTTCTGACCCACTATCAATATTGATGACATCTGAGCGTTTCTCTGCCGTTAGGTCTCTAAAAGGTACAACTGATACAAAACGTGATGCCAAAACGGCTTTATCATTTTTCAATTTCTCTTTATTTTGCAGAGTCTTTATTATTTTGTCTTTAACAGTTTCTGTTAAGTTATTGTCTTTCTCGGGCGATTTCAGAGAATTTTCAGGTGTGCTGTCTGAATATATTCCTCCAAGTGTGAAATCACAAGACCGATGTGTAGCATCTTGTTTGGTTTGACAAACAGCAGTTTTCGCTTTACTGCCTTCGATATGCGGTAAAATATGCGGCGTATGTAATGTGTCGTCTGAGTTGTTTGCCTCCGCTACATCCAAAGTTCCACCGCTTTTAACTATATCTGTAGCTTTCTTGAAAATTTCGTCGAAAGGATTCACGTTTTGTAGATCTTGGAAAAGGCCGACCTCTTCGCAATTTCTAATGAATCTTGTAGGAGTTGGAGTCTGATCGGCAGAATCGTTGTTTTTATTAACTAATCCCAAATTCAACATCATATCATGCTTTTTTTGATGACACTCCAAATGATCTTTATTAGTAAAAGTCATTTCACAGCCTTTCACTGTGCATGCAAACGGTTTTTGTTGGGCGTCATTCATTTCCTTCACAGCTCCTAAGTATTTATGATATTTCAATAACAATATTTTGGAAAAAAATTGAGGTTTAATTTAATATTTACAAATTTTATGGAAACATTTCCCCCGACCAGTGGCGTCATACTATGGACTGGCCATTAAAAACATATAGCAACGAAAAAAGGATGGAGAGATTAACGTTTTGGCATTACGTCACTTACATTTGACACCATGTTTCACGTGTTGCATACTTCCATTATAATAATTTCATTTTTTCATTATAGCAGTTCTGAATGAATTGTTAATACCAAAAAAATGTGACGAACATGACTAAAATGATTCAGTGTGCTTTATTTCATTATTGCTTAATTAGCTACATATAAACGACTGCCGAGTATGCAACACCGATGTCGTAGTCACAAGCACATTTTTATGTGCAGTGACGTTATTTCCAAAACTTTGTGATTCGCAGAGGAATGTATGTAAAAGTGAGGTAACGGCCAGTCCATATTGTCATACCTATGGTTCAGACAGGGATTTTTTAAACAAAGTGACAGTGGCATCACAGAACATCATTCTTCAGAGTTTTCAACTCATGTTTTCGGTCTAGAATGCGTTTATGTGTTTATTCTTGATGTTATTTTAGACATATCATTGCTTGACGTAGACAAAAGGCAGAGAACAATTCATTTTGGATATTCAGACCCCAGAAGAACGATAGTTTCCTATTCCATATAATATATGAGATACTGTCGGAGACAGAAACGTCGAAAATTCAAATTATTTATTTATCTAACCCGACATGACCCTTCGATATTGGTTCCTTGTTTAGTTCCCACAAAATAGCGGACGTCACCTAAAATGACTTCCTACGTCCCGAATGTCCCTCTTCTGATTGTTTACTCTTCTGTGACAGAGTTTGAGAGGTCATTAAAAGGTTGGTATAATATCGAACGACAAACGACACTGAACAAAAGCTGAAATGTTAACAGAAAAAGTGACGTATTTTTTTGTAAATCTTGATCACAGAACCAATATAACTTACTGCTCTGTATTACAAATTAGGAACTGCCTAAAGCACATAAGTGTTGGAATGTTTGAGATCGGCAACGTACTTTTCGTCTGCACAAAATAGCCGGTCGAAGAAATTGGATTATCAGGTCGGAGGCATTGCTCTTCAGTGTCTCTTCTGATTCTTTATTCTTCTGTTGCCAATTTTTTGTGACATTCGTTATTTTAGCACTGATTTCATTCCTGCCAGAAGGTATTCTATACTCCTGCTCGATGCTTGATCGAGCAGAGATAGCGAATGACTATTGACGGAAACGATTAAATCCAGGACAAGATTAGTGTCAAAAAAACACAGCTGTTCTGTGCCTGGGATGCATAACCACAGGCATAATGCCATTTTTAGTGGCAAATTCAAATGGATACTAAAAGCTATAATTTGAAGGTTTTCTTGAATGGTATGATATATGAACCTATAAATTATAGAGAACGTGAAATATGCCGAATTCGAATATTCAATATTTGCAATGACTCGAGTTGTTATTGATATAGAGCTTAAAGAAATGTACCGAACTATTCACGTAGATGAATATTATTTGGTGAATATAACCTAAAAAGGTTACAGTGAAGTAACGTTGAAATTCAGTGAATTATTGTGACATTTCAGAAGTTCTTGCAAGTGGGAGTTTCTACTTTCGTTATATCTAGCTCTCCTCATTTTTTTTAACTTTCAACGCTTCATTTAAAATTTACACTTTTGCTATGGTAGCGCCTACCTAATTCAATGGCGTTGGATAGACACTTTCTGATACACAGAGGTAGTTCTTCATCTCCGTACCTCTTAGAACCATTATTCTGATGGGCGGGAAAAGTTGTATTCAACTCTGAAATGACAATCGACTTTTGTATTAGTCCGGCCAATATCCCATCTAGGGCACTTTTGATACTTCATAAAATAAAGAGATACAAGGTACTTCGCCATTCCATTCAAAGGGGCGCTAGTTGAGCCTACAAAGTAGGTTCAATCTCACTTTTCCCAGAGTTTTTGACAAAGTAAAAGCGAATTGGTTTTGAACACCAGAGCTTCTATGCATGCATCTTTAGTTTGGGTAAAGAGGTTACTGGACAAAATTCATTTATATAATATAAATTATTTATCGAAATATAAATTTACAAATTATTTTTCAAAAGTTTCGATATAAACCTTTGATTTGTGATAATCAGCTCACTTTCCTATGTCCTGTATCTAGCAGTAGCGTTTCTAATTTTAAATTTATTCCACTTGAAATGTGGGCCTGTAATGTCCAACAGGCTGCAAAAAACATCACTTCGTCTTTGGTTCTTGAATGAGCAATATTTTCCAGGACTAGTTCTTTAACCTGTTTTACAAATAAAAAAAATTAGTAAAAATTGAATAATATGTTTATGTTCATTTTGCTTAATTTTGCACTCATTTTTACCCCATTAAATTTGAATGACAAAAAAATGCAAACTTCAGTTTGGTGGAAATGCAAGATTGTAGTTTAGTCAACAATTTGTCATTTAACATAACTTGAACTATCCACCTCAAGAAATAAATTTGTTTATATAAGGTATTTCAATAGAATTAAAAATATATAAACAACTTACCAAAACTTTTTTTCTGATAGTCAAAAATAATAAGTGCCCAAAAGAAATATTAAATTTCTATAATGGGAGTCGATTTCTACAAAAAAAAAATATTTTTTCAGGAATTTCTCTAAAAATTTTGTATTTTTTATTCTTTCTAGTAAGTTATGAATAATAATATCCTGGCTTGGTAATGATCTGTTGGTTTTGATTTTTGAATAACTGTACTTATCTGAATGTTTGAGAAACCTAAGTCTACACATTCATGTATAGAGTTTCAAATTGATTACTTCCTTCCTTTCTTTGGAAGATTCTTTCATCCCTTTTTTTTGTATCAGATGGAGTAGTAGAAAGCCAAAAACTTTCTTTCCCAAAAAAAAACCTAAGTCTGCTTTTAATTTTTGAATTAAAAAATCATCTATATGTTGAAGTTTTCCTTATAAAGGGGAGACATGAAATACGGAATATGCTGAAGTTGTTATTGACTTTTGAGGAAAAAAACTGCAACATATAGTTGATTTTTCAATTCTAAAGACAGAGGCAGATTTTGGTCTCTACAGGTTGTGTAATATGAAATGCAATTTATTTTGCAATTGCTCAGAACAAATTAGGCAATTATGATTTCAAAAGTGAGGTGAATATATCTTTTTTTGCTACCTGCTATTCACTAGAATTTTATATGCAAAAGTCAAACCAAATTAAATAATACCTTGAATTCCTCTAGATATGCATCAACTATGGTTTCGATCAAATTAGCAATTCCGTCCATGTTGAGAGAAAGAAAGAGGGTTTCCGAATTTTTATCTACTTTCTCTAGTGCCCTAATCTGTGTTTTAAAGATTCTAAATTGACCTTCTATACTTTTCAAATTCTGAACTACTTCATATAAGTTAGTAGTTAGTTCTTCCAAAGCAGGTGAATATTTTTTAGGATCAACAGCTTTTTCCACTGCAATCATTTTTACGAACTGAGCTCCACTGATATGCAGAGTGTTCCAGCGTTGAATTGTATTGTAAAGATCCGCTGCAATGTCCCTAGCTATACGAATTGAACCTGTCAAGTTTTTTTGAGGGGAACATGCCACAGGACTTCTAGTAACTGAAATTCATAGTTGTTATTCACTACATTATTTGGATTATTCATTTCAATACCTTGTAATGGTTGAAACTTGGTTTTTGCCTCTTTCTCCTTCATTTTTACTGTGCTAGTATTGACGTTACACTACACTACAGATTCCTTAAAACTACTGTAATTTTAAAACATTTACAATCATTTCATACATAACCACAATAAAGGTTCGTTTACAAACAATCCATCAAACTAACATAACCGAAAATGGGCGACATCTAGGTGTAACAATTCGAACATCTAACTCAGGGAAAACATTGATTATATTGCTTGCAAAATGAAAGTCATAGCATAGTATGTATATATAATCAGTAGAGAATTTTTGAAAAAATATAAATGTAGTATTCTCAGAGATATACTGAATTGACATTTTAAACCAGTAAGATAATCCAAAATAAGCACTGCTACTAAACACCTGAACTGCATCATTCTTTCCGACACACGTTTTCACCAACCAAGTTAATGTCTTTAGGAGGTGAAGTATACTCATGTTTAAACCTGAAACGGATATCCCGTAGCCTAAACTGTCCTACCGGATAAATAGCGCATATTCGGCCGAATCCGGATTTAAAAAAAATATTTTTTCCTTTATTTATAAAGTTCCTATCAATTATGAAATATAATCAGTAACCACCCAATAATTGTACAATCTAGAAAATGAATTGGTACTTATACTAAGGACAAATTATATGGTGAATGTATACTATTTCTCTGCATTGAGAAGCAGCAAGTTGACTCGCTTTTCTTCGGAAATACGGTCAGCTTCAGGAAAAAGTCTTCGCGGTACACACCTGCACGTCGTCTTGGTTTTGCTTAGGTTGGAGCCCAGCTCCCTTACTCTTTGGACTGATTTTTGTCGAAGAAGGACAATGTAGCAAGGTGTTGAAAGATACATGCAGTGCAATAAACACAATATGTCAATGAATGAAACAAATGTTAATTTCGGTACCTAATCAACGAAAATATCCGAATTGGACGTATGATTATCGTTCGCGCACCGCCTACGCAAGCGTGCTTCTTGCGATGCACTAAATGGCAACGTTCCGCCGAATATTCGGCTAATTTGCTATACGTTTCATCTCTACGTAACAAATAGATAACAAGAATTGAATTATCAGAAGTTTGTTCTGGTTTAACGAAATTCAGGTTCTAAAACGTCAGGATCATGCACAGCTGATATAGAGCGTTCTGGTTTATTGAGGATAATTTCGGACTGATGAATCCGAATTCTCTGTTCTGGTTTCGACTGCGAAATCATCCTAAACTGTTTTGAACCGTCCCGAATCGTTCTTGCTCTCGAGGCTGAACTGTTGAGAACTGTTCCCGTTGCTCAGGCGCATTCATGTGGAAATTTGTTTTGGGATATTTGCTAGGATTTATTTGATTTGAATAATTGATGATTGAGGGTAGATAACATTTGAACTGACTATAAGGATACGCTACATAACAAAATGGACATGATCAATAGTATTTTCTCGTCTTCATCTCTTCATATATACGATAGATGGCACAGTGGTCTCCTCAAAAGCGTTCTGGTTTAAACAAGTCTCCGAGACTATTTCGGACTGTTTGTTTTGTAAGCATCATGTCTTGTGCAGTTTTCAAAACAGTTTCAGATGTTAGAACCAGAACAAACCAACACGTGTTAATTTTCAAATAAACAAATACATGTAAAGTGAGTTCGAATTATATCAAGGAGGTTACGTACAGCGCCATCTGCCCGCGAATAAATCAATAAATAATGTCGATAATTCTGTCGAACACAGATTCCGAGCATTCAAACGGGAATAAATATGAAATTAAAAGGAGAGTTACAATCATACATGTGAAACTAATAATAAAATAAAAAAGCGTGCTAATAATATACATTTTCAGATATGTGAATATGAAAAATCTGTGATGATTTTTATTGATATTATTACACATTCAAGAGGGCGTTTATGAAATATAAAATTCCATTCTTTTCATCACTTCAATTTGCTAGTCAATTTCAATACAGATTAAATATTTGGAAAACAATACAAATTTCAATGACCAACATACAAAGAATTTGTTTGCAAAATTTAGTTTTCAAATAACCCCAAATATGGAAGTCAACTGGTTTGAAGTCAGGCAATCTTGCAGGCCAGTTTGGATTTCCCTTTTCCTTTTTTTGGAAAAAGATCAATTTTAAAATTATTTTGACATTACCCTGTAATCAGGTGAGCCCCCATAATGTTGGACATATTTTACCACAATATCAATATCTGCATCATTGAACAAAATCTATCAGGAGTCAAAATTAACTGAAGTTCATTTAATGTAGTTTCAAGTTCTGATGTACGGTGTGTGGTTTGAAAGTAAATCGTATTTGTATGGTTGAAGTCCTGTCCCAGATTTGAGACAGACCCAATAAATATAGGTTATATGAAACTATCTAGATGTCCCTCATCTACCAAAATCATATGGATATTTCTAAGAAACTTGCTTTTGCTTTTTCACAAGTTTTTATAAATAGGATTCTACCAAGAATAACACAAACTCTTTTCAATTCTTTTTAATGTAAGGTGTAATGTAACAAATCTACGCTATACTGCTTGCATTTGAAGCTATCCTCGGCCACAAATCTGCACATTCCTTAGCTACAGGTCCCGTGATTGCTGATCCTTTCATTTCTCCTTTATTGTTCACGATCACCCCTGCATTATCCTCAAAGTATATAAACACCCCGTCTTTCCTTCGAAATTGTTTGCGCTGCCGTATAACTACAGCTGGCATGACTTTTTTTCGGAGTTCTGGTTTACCTTTCTTGACGGTGGCCACAAACATATCTCCGCATGCCGCAGCTGGAAGTCGGTTCAACCGACCACCAATACCTTGAACGGCTATGACATAAAGGTTCTTGGCACCTGAAATAGAAGAATCAAGACATGAAAATTGTGTCTCATGTCTCAGAAAATGATCATTTTTACTACAGTGTAGTAAACTAGGTCTTGAGAAAAGTTCATGTCGGTGAAATGTCAAGTAATCGTCAAATCATTCAGAACATTATTCATTTACTGATTGCACAGGATTATTCCTTTTATAATAGCAATATGATTTATATGATCTACAAATCGTGATTGCTTGTCAGAGAAAGCTGATAAAACTACATTTGCTGATCTTCATGTGTACATTGCTTTTAATACACCACCTATTCAAGCTACTTAAATCATGTTGTAAGAGAGTAGCATCGTCTAATGATTCTCTTGGTATGAAAATTTCAAGATCATCTGCTAACGTTTGAATTTTCAAAAAATTCTGTAGTCGTTTTAACAAAGATGTTGAACAGAATATGTGCACAATGAGACCCTTGTGGTACTCCCGACATATGAATGATAGTTGACCTAGCATTTTTTACCTCAACTTGCCGAGACCTGTCAGTCAAAGAAGCTTTCAAATCATGATAAGAGACAGATCTGTGAAACCAAGTAATCTCATCTTATGTATTAATATCCCTTTATATCTGACAATTTTTTCTCCAGGAGTTCCTTAATATTTTGCCTCAACACAAATAGGTTGGTATCTGTAGACTTTTTCCATAGAAAAACTCTATTGATTTAGTTATCAAGCTATCCGATAGTTTAAATAGGGAAGCCTGGTTACATATACAACAGTAGTTCTTTATGTCTTGTTCATTTCCTGATTTAAAGAATATTTGAAAAGGAGATATGGACGCTCGTTTTTAGAGAGTAGTCGGGAATGCTATCATAACCACTGACTCAACTTATCCGATAGGAATACTATTTTACTATTTCATCAAAACTTTTTTAATAGATATTGTAGAATTGGGTATATCCTAATCTATATTAAATGGAAAATGAGAAATAGAACTTGTTTTTTACTACTTGTCTTTGTAACTAATTTTTCTTCATGATCTCCTACCACGTAGTATCGCTACATCCATTAATCAATATTAAATGGGGTGTTATAATCAATATCAGAGAGTATTCATGAATATACTGTTGAGAAATGATTTGCAAAACAATTTGCAATCTGTTTACTATTTGCTCCCATCACGTTACCATACGACATAGTATCAAGTAAGTCATTTGATATTTTACGATTTATTGAAAAACTACACCAAACTGCAAGTAACTTTGGAGATGATCTCCATTATTTTTCTGGTACACTTGAACAATTTTGTTACTAAAATACCACAATGAAAACACTCAAATATGTAAAATTGAGCAGGAATGAAAAAAATTAAAGGTTACCTTCAGTTGTCTCTAACGAAGGGCAAACATAACCAAAAATACTAATAATAAAATCAACACTCACCTGTATTATCAGCACAATTGATAACTGCGCCTACTGGTAACGCCAATGATATTCTGAAATGAGCTCCCGCGGAACCACCACGTCCTAAAATTCAAAACATGTATAAAATTTCCAAAAACAATCACATAACCTAGAATATTTTTCCCAAATATCATTTGAAGACATTGAAAATAAAGTAAAAACCTCAATCATCCTTTTGTTCGTTTAATATTTTTGAGAAAAATATCTAATGGCAGTAATTGATTACACAGATATTTAGAAAATTATTGAAATATTTGTAGACATACCTCTCTTAGACATCTTGTATTTGTGAAAGAACTAAAAGACAACTGACACAAAACCGCAATAGTATTTCTGAAAAAGTTTGTTCGTTTGTAGAATTATTGTAATCCGACTTCCTGTTAACCTTGACCAGTACCACGGATATAAAATACAAGATGATTTCAGGACTTCTTTCTCTCCGATCGTTACAAAGGATGTTTGTGCCGATAATGACTAGAGATGGAAAATACTGTTTCTTCAGTGGAACGTTCCAGCCGCGAACGCGACTGGAAAATATCGTGATATACAGCACAAAATAGTAAATAACTATTCTGTGACAAATTGTCACAGATTTCATTCGAATGATATTTCGATTTTTGGGATCACTCGAGTATTCATCATTCGATTCTCAGAATCATTCGATTATGCCTATCACTAGTGACAATAGTTCACAGCGAAACTGCACGAGAAGGAACGACCTAAAATTGCAGTTATTGTCAATCTGATAATATAATTTCTATTAAGAGAACGATCCTTAACATTCTAGAATATTTCGACTTATCTGCTCCTAAGAAAGATTGAAAATACAAGGTTTCTTTCTTTTAATGGACTTTTTGAAAGCAGATAACATTCCTGATGAAAACATTATCCATTTCATAAAAAAAGTTATTGATTATATTGTTCACGTCTTTAAAAATGAAAACGATACGGGTTGGTTTTCCAATGACATATTCTATCAGCTCAGAGCTACTTCGAAAAGAAACTCACTTATACAATACTAGCTGTTCCCCGTTTTACCCTCGTTACCGTGGGTTATTATCTACGTACGTACCTTATGTGTTATTCCAGGTCATGATCTATCTTTATACCAACTTACATTTGAATCTGTTGAGCTGTAAAAAATGTAAATACATACAGTACGTTCATCCATCCTCACAAACTTTGCGTATTTATAATACTAGTAGGAGTAGGATTAGTGGGATTATCAATGTATTTCATTCTAATCCTTTCCGTTTTTTTTTGCCGATGCTATTAATTATTGTATAAGTGAGTACCTATTGTTTGTCTGACATTCTTATATTAACGTATAACCGAAGCTACTGAACCTAGAATCTTGAAATTTGCAGATAGGTTCTTCGTATGGCGCAAATAAGCATCAAGAAAGGGAATCAGGAATTTCCATTCCCAAAGAGGGAAAATAGGTGTTCAAAGATTATATTGCATATTGTCAGTTTTGAAGTTGGAAACCTGAAGTTTTGGGTTAATAGAAAAAATGTTTTAACTATTTGTTTAAAATGGTCTGTTACGAAACTTAATGTGACAAACCAAGCCTACGAAGCCGCGGGCAACAACTAGTATAATATACATGTGATGTATTCTGTACTTCATAACAATTCGCGGTAATTACGATTTCTATGTATGTGTATGCGAATTTGAAGCCCATCTAACGTCACTCCAGAATTTGGTTAAGAAACTTTGTTTTGAACATATGGAACGCAGCCTTAACCACTCCTAATTATTATTCTAATACTGATACCTTTCAATACATAAAAGTTTAAAATCAGCCTTCCATTTATTTATTTTTATTTGTATAATGGTTTTAATGGATAAAATATCATTGGAACTTGGAGGTTCGATTATCGATATATCTGAATAAATTTTAATTTGATAATTTTAGCTCAGGAGCCTTGGCCTAAAGATGTTAAATTATATCAGCCATATGAAGTTGAGCAAATTTTATTGCCTGATAATGCAAATTGTCTAGCTGTTCAAGCATTTCTGAGAATGTGCCATTTAAACTATGTTGTTGAACCAAGACCTAATGCAGAGGCAATGTCCCCATCCTTGAAAGTCCCCTTTATCAAAGCCGGTAGATTTGTCATATCCGAGTTGGAAGAAATCGTGCAGTTTGTGAACAGAAAGGGAATTACTTTGACCGAAAAATTAGACCCTGATCAGAAGGCTGACATGCGAGCTTTCATGTCTTTAATACACAACGTCATGGAAGTTTCTGAAGTAATTGAGACCATATTATACATCGTGTCACAGGATTGATGTTGCAAGCGATGTGATCGACTGAATTTTCTTTAATGTCGTTATGTGAAGCCACCATTTTCTTCAGCAATACCACAGTTAACTGAACTGATGGGGACAGCTTTTTCAGTTAATCCATTGACATCTAAAAACGGCCTGCAGAAAAATGTGTGCAGGAAAAATAATTTCTATGGGACATACTTTGTTTTTTCAATTTCGATACAATGTATGTTCTGCTGCAACAGAATTTATTGCACTATTAGTTACAAAACTCGGTGATTTTTGAGAAAAAAAAACACAAGCTGAGTAAAAAAAGGTTTTGACTTTTGTCCAACACATCTCTTGTATCATTAACCCTGGGATACACGATATATAAATATTAGTTGAATAGATGGATAGATAGATAGATAAATAGTTTATTTTAACAGTGTGAACATAAACATGTATCATCAGTACGAAAAGGGCACGTCAATAATAAAGGAGAATTCTCACATTTCAAAGGCATGAAGTAATTACAGAAATTATAAAATGCGGTGCTGACAATAATATCTCACAAAAATATATTAATAAGTTTTTTCAGTTTTTCAGAGAAGTAAATTCCTCAATACTGTACGTTTCTGCACTTCATAAGAATCCTTTATCTAGCTTCAGAAATCTATATAGTAGCTTCAATATTTCTTAAATCCTTCAGAAGACTATTGAAAAATTTCATAGAACTGTAACCGATTTTTCATGTATTGGATAAAAAAAAGTTTTTATTGCTTGTTGTGTAGGCTTGGTTCTTGCGGTGTATTTCAAAATGCTCTAGTTGAATGATCAAAAAATTTTATTGATTCAAAGATATAGATTGCTGGTATGGTCAATAAGAGGTCTGTAAAAAATTAGGTAAATTTTCATTTTTGTCAAAAAGTACATATTTATTTGAATTGAAGGGGCTATATTTTTAGGAGTGATTAATTTTTGGGAAAGAAAGTTTTTGGCTTTCTACTACTCCATCTTGATACAAAAAATGGGATGAGGGAATCTTCCAAAGAAAGGAAGGAAGTAATCAATTTGAAACTCTATACATGAATGTTTAGATCATGCAAAGAAGTAACTTTCAGACACAAACTGAAAGAAAGTCCTCCTGAAACAGCTACTTTCATATAAACATTGAATTACACGAAAGAAAATAATTCTTTCGAAACAAATACTTCTATATGAACACTGAATTATACAGAAGATACTTTTCTCTACTCAGTTTGTATTTCAAACATTTGTTGTGGAATAAGAATCAGATATCATTCACATGAGTTCTACTTTGAATGAATGGTAATAAATTGTACTCACATATTTATTCTTCAATTTCTGTGATTTTTGTCTCTATTTTGTGAAAGGTGTGATTGTTTGCATGAAAAGGTGATTTATAAAAAAATCTCCACAGAAAAGAAAACTTTTTTCTGCCGTTCTTTCTTTATGATTCAATTTTCCTGAATATTATAAGATAGTATATATTTTTTAAAGCTATTTCATCAATCTAGTTATTTGGAAACTTTGATTTTTTTTTTTAGATCAAAAATCTTATCAGTTTCTTATTCCCAAAATAAACATGCATACAATTTTATAACTTGTATTTTCGTCAATTCTGTTTTTTTTTTGTCGAACGTAAATCTTTTGAATTATTTAGCATTTGGGTTTAAACTGTGGTTTGAACTGTAATATTGCTTTGTGTTGATTCATATAACGATTTTCTTAAGTATTTCAAATGACATATAGTTTTAGAATTTGCCGAATGGATGATTTTATTTGTATATACTTTTGATGAATTTGACAACTAGTGAAAGAAAATAACGAAAATAATTTTCAGCTTTACATTTGCTGGGTCGATCAAGAAACCTATAATGAAGTAACAAGCTTGAGACACGGTTCGGTTTACCCGTGGCCTTTGAATCATTTTCAGAATTATGTAAAAAGAAACCAAGTGATAAAGAAACTGAAAGCTATTGACTGGTATAAAAAAACCCTGGAAGATGTTTACACCGAAGTAGAGTCTTGTTGTGAAGCTCTCAATATTCGACTCGATGGAAAAATGTATTTTTTTGAAGAAGGGTAAGAATGTTAATGTTTCCCTTTTTGTCCGGATATATCTTAGGTTCAGATCAATGTGGTGAATTTTGAAGATCCCTATTTATTTCCGAAAGAAATATTGTTGTTCAGGTTTCATTATTGTGAATTGTATTTTTATTACGTAATTTGTTTTTCAATATGCTTCATCGAATGAAAATAATGTTGTTTTTACAACACTTCCGGTTATATCAGAAGTTGGTACCAACTACCTCAACTCAAACATAACACCCTGTATATTCTCACAATTTTGAATACCTGGGATGATTCTAATGTGAGGTTATGTGATACACCAAAAATGAACCCTTCTCGAGATATTCATTTTCTTACTCAAAAAAACTAGGTATTCGGCTCTCAAGTGTTTCCCCCATAAAATTAAAAAGTTTGACAGAATACATTATTAAGCTATTATTGATTCAGCACAATACTTCATTCCTTCATTTTGTACAAGTAAAATTTCCAAAATGTTATACAAGGTGTTCGGAATCGATGAATAATTCTAAAGTTATAAAAATGGGCCAAAACTCAGGTTTTTCAAATGGAACATGGATAGGATTTATAAAAATATAGTCCTTTCAATTTATATTTTTGTCAAAAATTCGTAAAATTCTTATTCAATATGATTAGAGAGTGATGAGAAGGTTTTAAATTGAATCCCAATTTATATATTAGTGTGAAGCTTGATGCATAGAACAGTATGGCCCATACATTAACGATCTCTACAAAATAGCTTTTATAATGGGATCAATTGTAATCTGTCACTTGAAATATTTTTTAATAAACTTCTATAAATGAGGAATTCTGTGTTTAATTCTGCTCAAATTAGTGTAAAAAATATTTTTCTCAGGTTATTTGCTAGTAACTAAGATAATAATAATGAGAATAATACTTTGTTTCCATAAATATAATATAAAGTTGTATAGGAAGCTGTCAACACAATAAAATAAAGATACTAAAAGTTAATTATAAAAATTAAATGGGGCGATAGTAAAAGTACAGTCCTGAGATTATTAAAAAATTCTGCTAGTGTATAATAATAACTTTGTAACAGGTATGCTTTCAATGTTCTTTTGAAATTATACAATTGCTTTGAAGCCTTCACATATTCAGGAAGATTATTATAAATTTTTAGACCAATGTATTCTGACCCAGAATAAGACACTTTGCGCAAATGGCACATGGAAGTGGTGTTTGATTCTCTTATCGTGATGCTGGATACTCTCATTTGATGTAAAATTTGACTTATTTTCAAACACATACACACACATTTCAAATATATAGTCTGATGTAACAGTTAAAATATTATATTTCTTAGTTTTTATTAGGCTGTTCATACTATTTGACTAAGAACTATGTCTAGCCAGGTCTTTTTCGAATAAGATTTTGATATTTTTCAGTATTATGATTTCCTTATTTTATGTCACACATTGAGAAAAAAATTATGAATAACGAATTCACATGAAGTATTTATCTAATTATGGTAATGATGATGATAGGAATGAATAGGATTTTGTAGTAATTTCATTTTCTATTTTTGAATTTCAACATGATTTTTTTCAAATTGATTCATATTCATAGTGTCATGTACAAAATGTTGATAGATCATGAGAATATTTTCGAAGATTTGACAATTGTCATTGGAAAAGTTCATTTTAGTTAGTTAGACGATTCTAACGAATGTTAAATGAGAATGAATTTGATCTGAGAGCAGTGCCTTGAAAAATTGGGTTATGAATGGGACCAGCCACTATATGCTGATAGAAACCTGGTTTTGGTAAAAAAAGAGTATCATATAATATGTTGAGTCCTAGAATTTTATGAAATAATCAATATTTTAGCAGTTCTGGTGAAAATAACTTAGAATGACTAACATGTCTTGAATATCAAAACATTATTGTAGTACATTTGGAAAAGATAGTGAAGTGAATTGTGTAACAAGGGATGTTGAACCACCCCGTTCATATTGTTTCGAGATAAAAATACATGTGATTCACGCTTTTTTTTTGTAGGCCTACAGAATTGGATGCTCTAGTATTTGGCCACCTTTTTACCATTCTAACGACTCCATTACCTAGAAGTGACCTAGCAAATATAGTGAGGAACTATCCTTCTTTGATAGAACTTGTGCAAAGGGTTGAAAAAGGATTTTTTGGGAAAGATGTGAAAGAGTAATTTAAGTTGATTTTATTGTTCATGAATTTAGAATTATATAGTATATTGGCGTTCTTGATGTTTGTCTTCCTTTTTAAAAAATGTTCCTACGTAAACTCCAAATTTCCAGCAAATATCTCAAAATTTAGAATTTAATCGTATAGTTTTGATTTTGTCATAATTTTGAGTTGAAAAGTTGTAATTTCAAGGACTTATTCAACATATCAGTCTTTGGCAGAATCCATGATGAGATATGGTATAATAGCATGGGGTGGTGCTTTCAATAACTACATTAATAGCTTACAAATAGCACAAAACTCAGTTTTGGAGATAATGAAAAAAAATATGGACCTTTTCCAACAGATCATCTATATCAAGAGAATAATTTACCTAATGTAAGATCATTACATAGTTACCAGTGTCTAGTATAGATGTTCTAGAACTTTAATACCACAGTATGAACTAGAGCCGTCGAGAATTTAAATATTGAAATGCCACTCTACAAGAAAAGTCAATACACAAAGATTCTTGTTCTATTATGACCCAAAAATGTACAACCTACTCCCAGTAGAGTTGAAAACAACGAAAAAATTAATGAATTCAAATATGCCCTCAAGCGATTTATAATCAAAAAGTCACAATTCGACATATACTGAAAAAAAAGAAATATATTTCCTGCATTGAACAACAGTTCCTATACCATTTGCATCTTTTCTCATACAAGCATAAAGGTACTCAACTTATATCTACTTCTTTTTGTTTCCTCTATAAATTTTATTTTTGGTCATTGGATTACTATAGTTCATTGTCTTGTGATTGTCATATTGTTCCCATTAAAAGGAGTAATATAAAACACAACACAGGCATTCCAATGCCTAGGTGAAAGTTGCTCATTCAAGATAATTGAAATTCAATAACTATGTCATTCAACAAATTTTATATTATGATGAAAATAAATTTGATTTGATTCAATATTCCCAATAATGGCCACCATCAAATAACTACCCCTTGCCGTAATGAGTCAGTTATTTGATGGTGTAATGGCGTTACATGACCTATTGCCTCATTTATAACCCTTACCTCCAGATTCCAGAATAATTTGTAAGATGATGTGTTTTTAGAGAAGATGAAGTGTTTATCTCAAGTATTTCTCCTTTCAGCATTATACATGCATTTCATATGCCAATACATTAGCTTATCTATTTAGGTTTCTCCAGAAAGTGACTGGATGACTATAAATGTAATTTGTTTATGATAATTCCATAAATAAGTTTTTTTCTTGTTAATTTCTCATAATCATTTTTGTCAAAAATTCGTAAAATTCTTATTCAATATGATTAGAGAGTGATGAGAAGGTTTTAAATTGAATCCCAATTTATATATTAGTGTGAAGCTTGATGCATAGAACAGTATGGCCCATACATTAACGATCTCTACAAAATACGCGCTACAGATTTTGATTCTCGGACATGCGTACAAAATTCCCATTTCTCGCGATTTTGTCAGAATCTGTAAAACACAAGAGTTTCTGTCTCAGAGTAACCTCAGGGGTCTCTGTGCATCACTGGTGTGAAGTTAGCCACAGTTTCTGAAATTCTTACTTGTAGGCTGTCAATGTTGAGATGGCACCAGTGTTGTTCCTGCTCGAGGAAAAAAAAACAAATTATGTTCCAAAAAGTAAAATTTGACAGATAATTCTATACTTTTGTTTTGAATGAGTAGCTCACCAAAGATCACACTGAAAGGTTGTTAATGGTCATTAAAAGTGACTGTTGACTGGACTAATAACTGGGTTTGTGTAATTGACGAATAAAAACTGACAGAAGGAATGTGCACATGGTCTTCAACTGTCGTTTTTGAGACGTTAACTCAGCGTTCGATACAAAACCCGAGATTAACTATCGGTTTAGCTATGTCAACTGTCACTTTTGGCGTATAAACAGTACAGGTTACGAAATTTATAAAATCTTTCAATTTTGTGATTTTAAATGACAGAAAGGAACTTTTTTTCACTAAAGTAACACTGGGAACAATCCTGAGTGAAGGTAAAATCGTAAACAGTCTTATCTTCTGCTAATGTTGAAAACACTGGAAAATCAGTAGACTTGAAACTGAAGTTTTTGAAAATATATATGACCCCACAAATTGGGAAATTATATAAAACATGTTTTCTAGACATTTAGTCCCAAATAAATTGGTAGAGCGATATTCCTCAAATACAGAATTTTATCACAGAAAAATTCCCATTTTTGAAACTACAGGATGGTTTTACTAACAGGGCGGCGAATCATTGAATCATCGTGAAATGCCTTACCCAGTTTGATACGAATTTTTATATTTGAGAGAATGGAAAATTTACATTTTTCAAATTACTCTGTAAAATTTGGTGTAATTCTTCTTGATTATCTGTTGTAAAAGATTGAAATCATAAAATTAGCGCGACACACACCGTATCGACTTTGATACACACCAGTGAACTCTTGTTCAAGTGTTCTGATACGGATTCGAAAAAATTGAGAATTTGTATTTTCCAAATTACAATGAGTAACTCCATGAAATTTTGTTTAAGTGCTCTTGATAGGCTATAGTTACAGAGAAGAAGCCCGAAAAAGTCATTATATGGCGAAACACGTGTTGAGTTCTTGAAAAACTGTTTAGTGAAAATTTCACAATAAAGTGTTTTGATGAATACGTTATGGATTTTCATCAAATATCGGCCAATCCCATCCTTTAGTTACAGGGTCATTCATTAAATTATCGTGATTTGTCCTAGATACATTTTTACATTCAGGATAATGAAAAATTAATAGTTTCAGAAGTCAGAACGGCAAAAATAATAATATTGATTTAACGATTCACCCCAAACAACAGCCTATCAAGCAGACTTCCACAAAGTTTCGGTGGAATAATTATCGTAACTTGGAAAATACCATTTATTTATTTTGTTAAGTGTTGAAATTCAAGTCGGTGTGGTATGTCACCCCAATTTGATTTTTTTTCCAATGAACCCATTGTAATTTGGAAACTACGATTCTTTCATTTTATGACGTATAAAAATCCGAATCAAAGTGGGTGTAGTATGTCACACAGTTTGATGAACTCTGTACCTAGGTCTTATCATTGAGACTTCCACAACATTTTGTGAGAGTAGGTACACATAGATTCGGGAAATACTATATTTTCATTTTCTTGAATATATCCTATCAACTATTCGAAATTTAGATAATTATTTTGAAGATTTTACCTGCTAGTAAAACTATCCTGTAGTCAGTCCTCACATAGTTCAAAAAATAAGAATTTTCTATGACTGAAATTCTGTAGTTGGACAATATCGCTAACTACCAGTTCATCTGAGAATAAATGCTGATGAAATGCTTTTTTGATATGTTTTTCTCAATTTGTGCTACTATACGTTTACCAAAGAAGTTTTATTCCATTTGAATTAATTTTCGTGTGCAGTTGTCCTATTTAACCTTAGAGAAAAAGTATTTACGAATTTTGGGTAAATATTAATTGTTTAGTAAATCTCATTAGACGAAATCAATAGGTACCTTCTACCTGCCCGTATATCTTGATTTCAAATGAAAACACAGGTAACAGAAATAAACTTATAATGGGAGCTCAGATTTAGTCTAGCCAAGGGTTCTATTTTTACCTAACATTTTGATATTACTTATTAGAAAGGTATGCTAATGAATCTATTCACCCACTGAATCTATGAACAAGAAAAACAATGCAATATTTCGTCAGCAATGTATCCATACTTGCTAGTTAGAAATTATTCCAACGTCAGAATTACTGCTTTTAATAAATGGGATTATGCTTAGAAAGTGACGATGAAGGTAGCTTCGGATATTTAGGTATTATCTATTCTTGACCGTTCGCAAAATACTAAAATTTTCAACAGCGCGATATGTGACGTTAGAACATTAATTAACATATCTATGCCAGGAGTCTTTTTAAAATCTGGAAAAGAATGGTAAGCCAGGTGTACGTTTTTTATGATGAAATTTTTTTTGGGTACATTAAGTGTTTCCTATTCTACAACAGTTTATTTAAATACACCGCATTGTAGGATAAAAAAAAATGAATGTGACGGTGTTACCTGATTTAATATTTTATCCTTGGAGTTGAGACGTAACAAAATGGAATTTCATGTAATAAAAGTCATATGAAACTAACGAACGAACGAAACTAACTAATGAATTCGCAGATATGAAAATAAATCTAAAAAATTACACAGAAAACTCATTTATTTATCTTCAAATACAATGCTGTGAACGTGAATTTACAACTGCTACAATGTTATTTCGCTATATACAACTTACATAAAATAAATTTTTCATATGTTACATCTATCAAACAACTTAAATCTAGATATAAAAAGAAAACAATACAAATATATTAATCTACGCTAAAACTGTAGAACAATGAAGATATATTCGAAATTTTGAAAAACTATCAGAAAAAGATCGAAAAATAATTTTTACAATCGTCATTGATTCGGATATTTTCTCTCAGATATGTACATAAAGGCGCACATAGATGTTTCCGTTATATCTGAATTCAAAACGAATTTGAACTACACTATGAAGCAATAACTTGAAGTTTATATCATATAAAAAGTATGTTCTACAGGTACCGGAACAGTATCCGCTTCAGTTACTTGACCAGAAAGAACAGAGGCAGCGATTAGCATTACCATAAGAGTTAACGCCAAAACATCAGAAACTCTTTCCGTCCTAACCATGAGCCCTGGGGTGGCAACCGGAGTTCCTTCAATGCTCGTTTGTGCTACAATAGGAACTGCCATTACTACAATAGGTTCAGGAGTTTCTTCTGTAATTGCAACTGTCAAATCGTCAACCGGGATGAGATTTAAGGACACCATATTGAACGACTTGTTTATCCAACAAAACACTACAATGATTCAGTTTGAACAAGTCCAATGCTCACTAACACAAATCACATCAACTGGTATTTCTATGAAACGAATGCAGTATTTCATAAACCTCTCGATCAGTACTGCTCCAACTCTGTCTGATGGAGATTGAATACTGCATCCCCCACCCCCGTGAGACTGTAGAAGGAGAACTAATTCTTTCATGTATATTGTGGATGCCAACCTCAAAATTTCATGAAAAATTACTGCCTCTCTTACTGCCTTACGCATGGCGTAAGCTTTGACATCATTTCGCTTTTATGAGTTAGCCTTTCGAATTTTTATAATTTACAACGGTGTTACATGATCTATTGCCGTATTTATAATTCTTATTTCCGGAATAATTTCTTTTGAAATTACCGGAACTTTACATGGATGTTTTTGTGGGGTGCTCGAGAATTCTAGGAAGGCGATAAAGTGCTTTTTTTGTATATATTTATTTGAAAGTATTATTTCATTTCAGGTTTTTTTGCTTAATATAATTGTTATTTTCGGCTATTCATTTTTATTTCCTCTTCTTCAATTTTTAATTCTTCTTTTTTAGTTCTTTCAGGGATTTCAAATCATTTTATACAAAATCAGACAATGGAAGTCCGAACTAATGAAAATCATCATGAAACATTGTCAAACACCTTTAAACAAACATAATCGAATTATTTTGATATTCGAACTGTTTGGATAACCAAATTATCATTCGAATCATAAATCATCGATAATATAGTAGTTGTTCAGTATGTGAATTTAACTTTTTGGATTAAACTGCGATTTTTACTATGAACTAAGAACAAATGTTTTATTTCATTTTTATATATTTAGAATTTATATTGTGTTTGTGAATTTGTTGTTCAACTTATTCGATAAGTTACATGTTTGAATTTTGGAGTAAGGTTTCATTTCAATAATTTTTGAGATGAATCAGTGCCGATCGTTCTCAAATGGCTTTGATACTGGGTGTATTTTGTTGACATTTTAAAGATTTTTACAAAATACGAGCGACAGATTTCAATTCTTACACCATCTATCAACATGCGTACAAATCTGGGCCAATCTCATTTCTCGCGTCCAGAGTTTTTGTCAAAACAAAAGCTAATCGGTAAAGACAACGGTGTCTATGCATCTTTGTTGCGAAGTTAGCCACAGTTTCTGATATTCTGACTTCTGACACAGAAAGGCGGTAGTGTTTTTCCTGCTAGAAAAAAAAAACAGTTTGTGTCGAAAAAAGTAACATTTGACAAAAACATTTAACTTGTGAATGAGTAGTACACGAAGCGTCACAGCGAGAGGTTATTAACAGTTATCAAAAGTAATTGTTGACTGAACTAAACTGGGTTTGTGTAATTGACGTACAAAAACTGACATATAGCATGTGAAAGAGCTCTTCAACTGTCGTGTTTCATACGTTAACTCAAGGTTTGATTCAGAACCTCAGAGTTATGAAGAGAGAGAGATATATATATATATATCATTTCTCTGAGTATAGAACACGAGGTTAACTATTGATTTTGATACGTCAACTGTCAGTTCTGGTGCACAATCTGACAATTGAAAATTTTGAAAAAGGTAGCGAAATTCATAAAAACTTAACTTTGTAATTTCAAACGACAGAAAGGAACTTTTTGTTAAAGAAGTATTACCAGGAACAATACCCCGGGTTGGATGAAATCATTAATTAGCATATTTTCTGTAACTCTTTTGCTGATGTTGAATAGGAAAACACACGAAAAACTATTGACTTGAAACTAAAATTTTAAAAAATATATGGCCGCAAAAATTATAGAAAAAATCATATTTTCCAAATTATAATAAGTGACTGTGATGTAATGTGATGATTCACATCCAGAACACTTTAAGTGAAAGTCGCGGACGTAGGATATTACTCATCGTTTTTTGAAAAATATGAATTATTAATTTTCTCATGTATCAAAATTCGCATCAAAGTTGATGCGGTATATCACGCCCATTTGATGATTGAACCTGTAATTGCAGACTGTCAACAGCTGTTTACACATTTTTTTGAAATGAACTCATCGTAATTTGGAAACTACGATTTTTTTATTGTATGATGTATAAAAATCCGAATCAAAGTGGGTATAGTATGTCACACAGTTTTATGATTCACCCTGTACCTACGGCTTACCATGAAGTCTTTCACAACATTTTGTGGGAGTTCACATCAATTCCGGAAATACTACTTATATTTTTATTTTCTCGAATGTATCGTATCACCTTGAAACAAGAACTCATTCTGAAGACATTCACAATATTCAGTAGAGTGTGGTTTTCATAGTAATTTGGAAAAGGTACATAAAGTTTTCATTTTCAGGAGTGTGAAAACTCGTATCAAAGTCGGTACGGTATGTTACTCTAATGTGATGATTTGGAAAATACGATATTTTTTTCATGTTGAATGCAAAAATCCATATCAAAGTAGCCACGACGTTTCACGCTAATTTATCGTTGTAATAATTTTTTTATTTTCGTGAATGTAAAACTCTATCAAAGTATTTATGACTTGTCACGATAAGTAAAACTATCCTGTAGTTCTCACAAAGTTTCAAAAATAAGAATGTTCTAGTAATCCAATTCTGTAGTTGAAGAATATCGCTAAATATCTGTTCATCAGCGAAAAAATGCCTAGAAAATGTTTTTTTGATGTTTTTTTTTTGAATTTGTGCTACTATATATTGATCAAAAAAGTTTTACTTCATGTCAATTAATTTCCGTGTGCAGTTGTCGCATTCAACCTCAGAGAAAAATATTATTTGTGAGCTAAGGGTAAATCTTATTAGTCGAAATCAAGCTTTTTCTACCTGCCCGTATATCCAGGTATCAGGTATCAAGAATAAAATTCCTAATGAGACCTCAGATTTAGTCTATGCCAGGGGTTTCACTTTCACCTATCAAGTACTTTGTTTGATATTTTATATTAGAAAGTATGCTGATGAATCTTTACCCACAAATCTATGATAAAGAATAATAATGTAATATTTAGTCAGCAATGTATCCATACCTGCTAGTTCGAAAGCATTCCAACGTCAGAATAAGTGCTTTTAATAGATGACATTAATCATGCTTAGAAAGTGACAATAAAGATAGCTTCTGGTATCTATCCGATTACTAGGTATATATTATTCATTCTTCACCCTTAGTAAAAATTTTAATAGCACGATATGGGACGTTAGAACTTTAAGTAACTTATCAATGAGAGAAGTCTCTCAAAAATCTGTGAATGGGTGGTAAGCCAGGTGTTCGTTATTCATCATGAATATTTTTGGGGTTATATTAGGTGAAATTGAATTAACCTGTAAAAACAAAGACTATAGTGGAATTATTGAGATGGAATTAAGTATATTATTGTTGTTGATTAAACAAAAGCTAACCTGTAACAGCCGAAGTTAGATTCAACTAGTGCGACTTGAACTTTTTAAATGACATACATTATGCATAATGGTGCCGTGCATAAGTGTAGATGTGGGAAAACTGCTGCCTTTAGACGCGTTTTCTAATTTATAGTTACGACTGTGAATTTGACGATGTACAGTTGTGTAACTGTCAATTCACATTTATAATTAGTGTGAATCCACAGTTACAAAAAAGATTTTTGCAATTTACAGTTCAACGAAATTTTAAATTAGTTTCGACAAACAAATAATAATGATTTTAAATATTGAATGATACAGTAACTGATCTTTAATTGAATCTACCAAAATTAAAGGAGCACTATAAAATTTATTTTTGCTTAGAGATATTATGCATAATTGCCAAACAAAACACAATATGTAGGTAGGTATTAGCCATTGAGAAGATTCATAAAACGCTTGTTTCGTAAATATCGTTTATTAAAGCACCTTGTCGATTATTCAGTAAACATTTGAAACCATCTTAGTAATAAAATGTATTCAAAAGCGATTAAGAACCAGAGCCCCATTGTGAAATATGTACACCACAACAATGAAGCTGTGATTCAGAATCTTGGTACAAACCAATGAGTCATTTATTCATTGGAGGGTTTTTCAGAATGGAAAATATACAGGGTGTTCACATAGTCCTACAGTCATAGTTTGAAAACAGAAAATCTCAATTCAATTTTGATATTTAATGCCCAGTTCAGAAAAAATGGAAGTCGTATATCATTTCACATACTTATCCTATCCTTTATTTTAGTTGAGAATTATTTACGATGTAACAATGCAATTTCCAATGAGCAATGATATTTAATGCAGCATTTCCCTAAATTGCACATGCGCATTCATCATAGTCCATACTATATTATCATGAACATAAATCAACCTAAACATGTTTAGAGATATCTCTAACACAAGCTGAATTTTGCCAGTTGTGAATACTTTGTACAATACAATTATTTCAAATCATAAATAAAACATATGTAATTTTCAGAACCTGGTGCTGCAGGTTTTTCCGGGTTTTCCTGCAGCTGAAAAGCAAATGCGCCACTGGAATCAATGAAGTCGCCTTGGAGCGCCAATTCATTTTTATTGTTGTTGGAATGAAAAAAATAATGGAGGGATTCGCTTCACAAAACTTGGATGCTCTGTGATTTTGTTGCATTAATTGCTTTACTGAAAACCAATAGTAGAAGTAGAGAAAGTGGAAATGAAAATGAAAATTGCATAAAACAATCTTTAGCCATATTCTTCCTATTATTACATGTGTGGAATTAGGGCATAACGACTGTGAACAACCTGTATCAAATTATTATCCTAAGCGTTGTTTCTAAATTTCCTCTGAAACTATTAGTTATAGAAAGTTTCAGGAAAAGATTAGAATTCCTTCAAGGTCATTTCCACAGTCACTAGACTGTTTCTCAACTTCGGAAAATAAAATGAGTCTAGTCTACAAGAAGTTATTCCGAACAGCTACTAATTAAAAAATCCGTGTATAGGTTTATGAAAAATAAAATGAATTTTGAAAAAAAAACACGCCGCCTATGCCAAATAAAGAAACTGCCGACGTTCGGTAACTATCCAGTTTTCAAGCAATTTGAATTGACTTCTTACATGCTATAACTTATTCACAAACTGTGGAAATGATCTTGACTGACAGATTAAATAAATACAATATGCAAAAGGTCTTTCCGTTTCATGACCTTTTGGATATCATGATAGAAAAATAGTTTGAGGTTTTAAAATATCCCATCACCATCCCAATCTAAGAGTTATAAAATTGTGTTCGATGAAGTGAAATTCACCGTGATCATTCGAAAATATCGTCGCTCTTCGTTATTCTAATTACATTCTAATTTCACTAACGTTGGTTCACTAATGAAATGATAAATGAATAGAAGAATTGAAACCTTTGATACACCAACAAAATTAACCTACGTATTAAATCTGAGCAATATGAGCCAACTATGGCACTTGAGCTGTGATACAAGGTTTTTCCTGAAAAAAAATGGCAGTTGATCTCCGAAAGGGGACTTCACAGGAAAAACTTTCGCTGAAAATGAATGACTCCTCGAAAAGGTATTGGAAATTCAACATTCTATTAATTGTTTTGGAAAGTTCTTCCCCGGTCCCAGATAATTTTGAGGTTTCGAAACAATCTAACTAGTATTGCTGTAAGCAGTATTCGTGTATGGGCCGCTGTATATAGAGCTGCCGGAATTCGAGGTGGTTTTCTTTCTTCTTCTCGCCAAAAGACACAATATTGCTGCCACCACGCACAACATGAGGATGAGACCAGCTATGCAGATGCCAATAGCGAAGCTTCTTTGAGATATGCAAATGCTGTCGGAAGTCTGAAAAATATATTCAGTTATATAGATTCGTATGCTTGGAATCGAGCCAAATGCGAGGATAACGTTTTTTAGAAAAAATATCACTACTGAACAAAGTTGAAATTGACCACAACCAGAGAGCGTGCATAATTTGAGATTGGGTTTTTAAATAACATTTATGGGATGAGGATTTCATTGTACAGCACTCCATTTGAAACCCTAAATAATTTTTGGTACAATGATTTGCAGGAAAAATAAAAAATACGTCAGCCATAGTATACAGGGGCACACATTTTGACATATTCACATTTCAGGTTACTTTCCCTATCGCACCCTCAGAGCATGTCACCAATTTTTTTAATGGATCACCCTATATTGTTTCGCATTATCAGATGCTTCATGATGAGCAGATTTCAACAAAGTATGAAACATATGGTCTAAAGCTTATGGTTCGGGAGCTACAAATTATTTGAGTTGAAAACCGAAGCCTGATGTTCACGTGATCGCCCAGTGTCAGATGGAAAGGGCAGCGTTCATTGGTGAATTCGCCTTCTTGGTACGAGTTCGGTACCAGCACAGGGTTGTAATCAGTCGTTTGCGTGTTTGTGTGGCGTGCGTTATAGTATATTGTTTAAAATTGTTTTCCAAGATGTCCAGTACAGACACTGCTGATGACACTGTGAGCTATCCTCTGAGTCCAGCCAGGAAACGATCCAAAAAAGACATTTGAGTGTTGAGATGAAAGAAGTGATTTTAAATGTGTTCAAGAAAGAGATGGAAGAAATTGAGACATCGACTGTTGACGAAGTCGTATCGAAAGTTTCCGATAAAATTGGAGTGTGTTGCGCTTCGATTTACAATGTTTTACGGGAATATAAACAAAATCATACATTTTCCAAACCGAATACAAATCAGAATCGTCAAACCATTATAAAATCAATAGATGATGCTGATAAACATGCAATCAGGAGGAAAGTGCATGAGTACTTTTTCAGAAATGAAATACCCACGATAGACAAAGTACTCACAGAAATAAATGAAGATGTTTTATTGCCAAGTTTTAAGCGGTCAACATTCCATAAAGTATTGAAACATTTGAATTTTGTATGGAAAAAACGAGGGCGCAATAGTTTATTATTGGATAGAGAGGAAATTGTGTTATGGAGGAGAGAGTATTTGACCAAAATTAAATATTATAGGGAACAACAGAGAACAATTTATTATATGGATGAAACCTGGGTTAATGCTGGTCATACTACCCCTAAAGTATGGGTCGATGAAACTGTGACCTCATCTAGGAGGGCATTTCTAGATGGACTATCCACCGGATTAACAAATCCATCAGGTAAACTTATATTTATATTAAGACCTGCCTCAATCTCAATATATAAAAAGTAACCCTCGTATTTGTTTTATTTACTACATACCTCTCAATAATTTCAGGTAATGGAAAACGGCTTATTATTTGTCACATCGGCAATGAGAATGGGTTTGTTGCTGAAGGGCTGTGGTGTTTCGAGTCGAAGAAAACTGGAGATTATCACGAAGAAATAAACGGTGAATCTTTCGAACAGTGGTTTTCCAAAGTTCTACCCCAACTGGAGGATAATGCTGTGATTGTAATGGACAATGCACTTTATTATTTGCGACGGTTAGAGAAGATTCCGACAACGTCTTCAAAGAACACCACGTTCAAATTTGCAGATCTCAAAAGTACTTTCTGCTGAGGCTTTTAAAAGAGTCACAGCAGAGAAATGGGAGGAGTGTGTTCGGCTTGTGATATCGGAAGTCGAGACAAAGATGTGGAAGCTTGATACCATAATAGAGGCACAAATCGAGCCACTGATAATTCAGGTTGGTGAGGATGACACTACTGATGAAGAGACAAATTCATCCAGTTGAATAATTTTGATTAATATTCCTTTTGATTTTACATAAAAGAAATAATTACGTCTCTTTTCATATAATGCTTGAGTGCGCTGTGAAAAATCCAATGAAAATCTTTTTATATTACAAATATTATCTGCATTTTTCCGTTAAACTGCAAAACTTGTGCATTTCACTCGTTATTATAAAAAAGTTTTCATAAGTATGATATAGCATTTGCGATCAACAAGATGTTGGTTCTGAATACGACCCTGGCCAATTCTTGTGATTTTCAATATCACGTACGTACGGCATGTCAATGTTTACATCCACTCTATCTTGGATTTGAATTTGCTTTAGTTAAGTTTGAATTCGATTTTCTCTTCATTTTGTATTTGTCTCGTTCTACAATAACGATTAGGGGAACGCGGGGTAATGAGAGCGGTCGGGCTGGGAGCTATGGTGATTGAACGGAATGCAGGCACATTTGCGCGATCGTAAGCACTCGGCTGCTTCCGTCAACTATCTGTAAACTTCGACTGACGCGCTCGAGCTCGAACCGTTAGTGCCATTCGTTTAGTCATTAGGAACGTTTGTATGTTTTTTGCTCCACGCTTACAAAAAATTGCCGATTGCCAGCATCAAGGTAAGCATGAAATTATAGTCTTATTTTATTGTATTTATAGTTCTTATATCCCTATATTCGTTTACTAACAAGTCCAATTATTACTTTTCAAAATGGTGGTCAGCGGCTAATGGTAGCCTCATAACCCAACATAGCTCCCATTACCCGACATAGTTCCCATTAAGAAACATAATGCCTTGTTTTTTTTTGTGTTAGAAGCCACTTAAAAGAGCTCGGACAACCACAAAAGCTTCTTGGACAGTGGATTTATTGGAAAATGCGATATCTGTTCTCAAAAGAGAAGGTATATCGGTGTACAAAGTATCTAACAGACTGGCAATCCTTACAGCACTCTAAAGAAGCGTTACACTTTAGCGTAAGCTGACGATAGTAGCTACAAAAACTCTCTTGAGCTGGGAAGAGGTACTGTATTTAATGTTGCCCAAGAAGAAATACTGGCTAACCATCTTCGGACAATGTCAAATAAGGTTTATGGTTTGACAAGGGAACAGTTTCGCAAAGTATGTTACAGTGTAGCTAAACAACTAGATATTGAGGAACGGTTTAACCAAGTCAATCATACTACAGGAAAAGATTGGCTTGCTGGATTTATGCAGCGTCATCCAGATTTGAGTATTAGAAAGCCTGAAGCCATCAGTATCAACCGAATCCTCGGATATAACGATACTGAGATAACGTATATATTTGTGTCAAGGGAAAATGTATCAAAGGTAAATGTATTCAAAAGAAACATACCAAAGATAAAGAGATTAAAAGTAAGAAGACTACAACCAGAAACACAAGGATCAGAAGGGCAACAAAATATTTGTTTGAAAGTGATGATGAAGACTCATCTATTGATCAAGTAGATGAAAATACTATTTGCGATGATGAGTCAGAATATTCTGAAGAGGATAATTTATGTGCAATTTGTTTAGGTACAGGAAAATGTGGAGAGATGTGGTACCGATGCAGAAGTTGCGGAAAATGGGCCCATAAAGAGTGTTCTGGCAGTGATAATCCATATTATACTTATATTTGTGCATTTTGCTTGGATCCGTAAAGTCTACATTTTTTGTTTTCTATTAATAATTTCATATTTTATCTCCGTTTTGTTCGAATTAATTTTGATTTTAATTTGAGTTACTAATAGTTTTATTATGTTGATAGGTATAATAAGTAAGGTGTCATTTATAGTACGTTTTGTTGATTTTTTTCTTCAGTAATTATAATGGCTCCCTTTTCCCGAATGAGCGGTAAATGAGCTCTCATTAGCCCCATTTGTCGGGTAATTGGAGCGACTGACTTTGTAAAACTGTGATTGTACCTTATCTACATGTCTGTAGTTGATTATAACTATGATTAAAGTATTCTCTTATAACAAGGTGAGATTTTATAATAAAAAAATACAAGAATTTTGCGAGGTTTTTATTCAAATTTTCACTTAGGCTCTCATTGCCCTATTCTCCCCTACCTACCAGGTGAAGATACAATTGGTATTTCTGTTTTTGTGAATTCTTAAGAAACAATAGTTTATACGCTTCGAGAACGGTGGGAGAAATGGTGGGAATGGAAATAGTGTTAGAGCTGCTGCCTGTATACTCAATGATAATCATCCAGGAAGAAATGTACGACACAAATAGGGGAGACTGGGGCAAGATGAGATAGCTAAGACAAAACTCGTTATACAAGGAAAATTAAACTCTTTAATAACATTCTTTAACAAAAGAGGTAACCATTATACATTTCTCTCTTATAATTAAACGTTGTAGCATGCAAAATCACAGAACTTTTTTTGGCAAATAATGAAAAAATAAACTCGGCAAATTTCCCGTTTTGCCCCATAACTGGGGTAAGATGGGAAACGCTGTGGGGCAAAACGAGTACGCTTTTTAATCGGGTAGACAGCGTTCACAAATGTGTGCCTCTTCATCTTCCNAATAAATTATGATTATGAAGTCGTATGAAAGTCAAATATTGACAGGATTTATTCTAATACCCTGTGTAAGCACCGAGAGCAAATTGGTGTTTGACCTCTTCCCTCTTAACCGAGTTTCACGCGAATCTGCGAGTTAATGAGCCGTGAATATTCCATCATTCCTACGAAGACATACGCACCTTCTCGCTGTACACCGAGTCATCCTCTTGTCCAGCTTTGGCGAGGTCATTGGCTTCGTTCACGTACAGGCCGCTGTAGACCTCGATAGTAGCGGGCGTTCCCTCGCCGACGGCGTCTGAAGAAGGCTGCTGGTCTCCGGCTTGACGACGGATTCTGTTGCTCCCGTCGCCATCGCAGTCCGACGCCTGAAGACAAAGAACTTGTTAATAATTGCCAGACGGTTCAGGACAACGCCCTGTATAACGGTCTAGCCGAATTTCCACCTACGTGGTGTAGATAATTTTTGTGAGACAATAAAGATTATTCATTATTACCATAATTTTAAGTAGTCATGTCGTGAATAAAAATCGGGGATAGTCATTAATGATTTTCGTAACCAACAGAAATTTCTGTTCCCAACTATTCCAGAGTTAATGATAACGCAAATCTGCAACAAAAAAGCTCTCAGAATGTTTTCAATTGATACGTATGTATTTGCTTGTTCTGAGAACTGAAAAAAATACTCAAAAAATTCCAGAACGCCAGGTTATTTTGCAAAACGCAAAATTGTATTATAAAAAAGGTTTCTTGGGCTAACTTGAAGTTACAAATAAATAGGTAGAATTCAATTTTTATTATTGCAGTTTCGTCCTATATAGACATTCTCAAACTAATACAATACAATGAGTTAATTGTGTCTATCAATTTATTATTCAATTTTTATTATTATTCGAAAACCACTATTTCTGTCAGTCAGCAGGATCCTTCTAACATCAATACACTGGGAAATAGCATGATAACTGCAGTTGCCAAGAGGCCCACTAGCATCTTCCAAATCGATTTCTGCAACATCAGAGGACTCAGCTCAAATATAAACTCAGTGCACCAACATCTGCAAACAAATAGTCCTCATATTCTTGCACTCACAGAAACCAAAGTCAGTGCTTCAGTAAACCCCGTCAATTTTCTATATCCCGGCTATGGTTTCCACTTCCGATTCAGACGTAACTTTGGAATGTATTTTTATCCGAAGTGATCTCTCATGTCAACGAGAGGAAATGCTTGATCCCCAAAAGTTTGATGTTATGTGGTTCAAAATAATACCACAGAAAATCACTAAATTCATGTGCTGCGTTTATCAACCATCAAGTTATACAGAATATAGGGCACTATTCTCTTTACTTGTAAACACCATTGTCTTTCTGTAAATCAATCATTTCCATATTCGGTAACTTCAATGTCTGTGAGTGGTTTTGAGATCTGTCAAGGTAAAAACTGACTAAATAAATAAACATTTTTGCCCAGAGTGATAAGATGATCACTTGGTGATCGAAACACGTGTCGAGGTGTTAAAAATAACGATTTGGTGTTGGGAAAAAACTCCAGTAATATTCATTACTACAACAAAGTTTCCAAACAGTGCATCATAAGTAGGCTTGTTGATTTGTTGAAAACCAGTTATAACTACTAAAAATACCACTTACTTCTTTGTAGATTATATTACGGGGAAAGTATAATTGTTTTGAACTGAAACTGAAATACTTTGCCTACGTACGATACCATAAGAATTTCGAAGATAGACAGCGTCTATAAAGTTTCGAAAGTATTGTTCATGTAAAGAATGTTACGCTTCAGTGTCCAGTAATAATATTACACAACTTCTAACACGAACAAATCCAATCGATTACAAATTTTATTTAATAGGATAGTAGTGATACATTGAAAAAAATAACCTAGAAATGATTGCCCGTTAATGACGTCCACGAACATTCTTTAAAAAGGCAGTAAGGTCAGAATTTATTTTTATTGGGTGATGCGTTGACCGTTATAAGTTAGGTAATTCTACTGGGATTGCACAATGTGTTCGTTACGAAAGAACTTGCAGAGATTCTTCGAGATTGAATAAATACTTTTATGAGGCAGTTTCAAAAGTTCTGTTCAACCGAAATAGGCGTCATTTGAATAAGTGTACTTTTGCGAACGTACCATAAGTCGATTAATTTCGTCAGCATGGAAATATGCTTGGGATTCGATGAAGTCGATGAAGATCGTTTTTTTGCCTGGTTCTGATTGGCGAAAGTTCTACCTGTGAGAAAGCTATCGAAGTGCTTGAAAAGATACTATACAGTGACCATGGTCATTTTTGGTTGGTTTTCGCCTCCAGGAAGTGCCCGGGTGGCTCATCGGTGTCCATCAACTGTCTTGAACGACTCCTGTTGTCTATTAGAGTTCTATGGGTTTTATGTTCCATGTCATATGACACAATATCGTTATGTATTAGCAGTGATGTACGTTTATAATAAAAAGGAAAACCACTGCGGTATTTTGTCGTTTATTTGAAATATAACGTTCTCCATTTCATGCACAAATAACATTGTCCACCTTTCGTCACACGTGACGATCTGATCAGAAAAATAAATAGTTTTGGTTGAGCGAAAGCAGAGAGGAACAGACTTCGAAACGTGACAATTTATATCGATTGTTCAAATCGAACTTTTTGACATTTCCAATGTGTTTTAAACCATCAAAAACCGCATGGGTGCTGACGCCCAGTTTTCCCCCATCCCGCGTACCGTTTGTGATGGGTTAGTCGCCACCAGGGTCTTCAAAATCCTCGCCCTGGCAGGAAAATATTTGAAAAATCAAGAGAGTAATGGAGAGTTGTTACATTTTTTCAAAAATGCCCTAGTTAGATTTTCATATATTCCGAAATCTCACCGTTTTAAAGCATCTTCGTTGATGATTATGATTTCTTTCATGTTTGGATTATGTGGAGAAAGTATAAAGTTTTATGGCCTGATTTTTGACCCACTATTGAGAGCTGATATACTCACTCAACTCTTCAAGAAATGATTTTGCCTCTATAAAGTTCGTTCTGCGAACTATACATCTATACTATACATCTTTTGAAAGCTTGTCAAAAATGATAGGTTAATAAAGATCTCACCAATTTCAAAGGATGTCTTCACCCCCATACAAATAAATAAGCTTACATAAGCTTTATGAACTGATGCATTTCGTTTCCTACCCATCNTCATGCTGCAACCCGGCATGGGAGCTAGGGCGGTTAGAGGTTGAGCGGAGTGGAGACTGCAAAGGGAAAGGGGGGTGAGTTGTTTTAGAATGTGGAGCTATAATAATATTGCCATGTTGGTGCATTCTCCACTCTAATACATATTTGATAGACATCTTGAAGATTAGAGGTTTAGAATTGTCAAAATGTGTTTTTGTTTTGGAATGTGGAGCTATAATAATATTGAATTATATTGCCATGTTGGTGCATTCTACACTCTAAAACATATTTGATAGACAGCTTGAAGATTAGAGGTTTAGAATTGTCAACAAATATTTGTGTGATTGAGAAAGAAAATTTGAAGGGATTTAGAAAGAAAACAAATGAAGGTGATATTGACAAAAAAAAATACAAAAAAATATCAAGAATAACGAAATAGTCGGATAAGTTAGTTGAACCATTGATGTTATTTGTGGATTCTACTGCCCTTAAAGGAAGATTCTGAGTAAGTAAAGGCGATGCCATCTCCTCTTAGGTTGAGTTATATCAGGTCGAAAGTGAGTTGGTCTATTCGACCTTCCACCGCAACCCGAAAGGGTTTATTGTGGCTCACATGTATTCAAACTCGACCAAATAAACCCAGCTTCTTAACGAAACCGATTAGTTCAAATGATGTAGTTCATCTCTACTCCAGTCTAACAACTGTTTAGTTTCAAGCTTCGAATGGTGAATTAACTCTTGAAGTGAGCAAATTCTGAAAGATTTTGCCAGAATTTCATAAATCTTCTTGTCATCCAGGTGTTTAATCTTTGTTTGAAGGTGATTGACAAAGTTACATGATGAATTTCACTAGTTCGGANGAATAACATATAAAGATCTGGGTTTGTCTGCCGCTAAATCAGCTTATTTCTCACTTGTTGAGTCGTATTTAAGGTGTGGAATTCCTTTCTGTGGAGTATGTTGCAAAACTCAAATGCAGACGGTGTTCATTATTCGATACTCCTGCAAACCCCTATTTGAATCACATAAAATCTTGACAGTTTTTGGAATCTTCATTTTAGAAACAGTATGTTTAATCAACAAACATTAATTGATATTTAGCGGTTACTCCAATTATTATGCCATTCGTCAATCTAACGACCTAAGATTACCCATACCAGCCTCTACTCTAGTCAAAGACTTTATATATTATGATGTTAAAATGTTCAATCATTTACCTGACCATAATAAAATTTTAGAAGATATCTGTGTATTTCGAAAATCAGTAAAAGACCCTATTATAGTTTAAAAGAGTTCTATGAGGACAGCTTTCTGTAATTTATTTAGTCAACTGTATTTTTTTATTAAACAAAATATAGTATACTGCATTTGAACATTTTGAACTTTTTAGGTATATTTTATCGTATCTTTAATAAATTTTTTATGTGTTTGAGTGTTTTAATATTATTTGTACTCTATATATGTATGTATGTGTGTGTGTATAGATATGTATATGTGTGTGTATATATGTGTATTTATATGTATATATATGGATATATATGTGCTTAAGTTTATGATGACTGATGAAAATTTGCAGCTTTGTCAATAAGACCTACTGTTCTTTGGGCAATAAAGCATATTATTATTATCATAACGCTTTTTTTCAATAATTTGGAGATATTGATGAAACAACATAATTTTGAGCCTCAAATGATTTACAATGTAGACGAGACTGGTATAACGACCGTCCAGAAGATTGAACAAATTTATAGCTCCCAAAGGACAAAAATGCGTCGCATCTGTAACATCATGGGAAAGAGCTAAGACGGTCACAGTAATATGTGCTATGAGTGCGTCTGGAAAGAGATGGACCAGTGGGAGCCGTTTACACATGTTCACATAATGGCTGGACTAACGAAAAAATATTTGTTGTATGGCTTCATCATTTTATTAAATACACCAAAACTGCTGCTGAAACACCCGTATTGCTAATATTGGATAATCATAACAGTCATGCTACTCTCGAAGCTTGGGAAATGGTAGAAAAGAACCATGTCATAATTCTAACCATTCCTCCTCATACATCCCACCGTCTACAACTCCTTGACGTTGCATTTCATTCCCCGCTTGAATGAAGCAACGGGAATATTCCCAATGAATTCTGGAGTTTTTTGCGATGATGACTTCATTAATGAGGAATCCAGATCAACTGTG